CTATTTAAGTTACTAACAAAATCACTTTCTAATGGACTTACATACATTACGCATACGTTTGTATAAGGGTTCTGCAAGTGTGTATATCCATATGTATGAGGCAAAGGCGCCGACAACTTCACGTCATGTTTATGTATGGGAGTTGGGAACTTCGAGGCGAGAAACGGCGGTACGTGTATTACTGAGTGTTCACGCATTCATGGCCAGCAGGCACAGCAGGTGACAACATATGCCAGCATATGCTTACACGAGCACCCCATAATAAATACCAAATGAGAAAAAACGTAAAAGAAAAACTCAGGATAGAATTAAGGGGGAATTTTAGTACAAAGTTTTATTAATATTTAGCCTAGATCGCCCACAGATACCCCCTCTCAACTCAACTCTAAAAAAAACGGACGTGAAAACTTTCAACTTCACGGCAACTAAAAATAAAAAAGTTATATTGTATTTCGTTTAATTCTTATGAACTTTTCTTGTTGCTGCAAGGGGTGTTGAAAAATTTCAAAATCGCAGTGGATAAAACAGAAAGTGTAGAAGGAAAAACAGTTTTCTTTTATGCCCTCTTATACTTTTACGCTGCCTCATCATGTGCGTATGTGTCTGTGTTGTTGAAAGATTTCCTCATGTATTGGTATGGAAGTGGCGCGACATCCAGCCAATGGATTTCTTCGTGACAAATCCTTATTTAATTTAAAAAATGCGAAGTAAAATTTGACGTCTGCTGAGATTTATGTGAAGGCAATATAAATGGCTTGCCCCCAAGATGATCTTAAAGGATGTTGGAAATTTGGAACTTTGCGAGAGAAGCAAGATTCTTTGTTTTGCCCGCCTTGTGAAAAGTTTTGACTGCCTTGGCGTTTTAGTTGGCATTTAGCAACTGAGTCTTTAAGTAATAAGGCCAGACCCAGACCCAGACCAAACTAGCAAAAACTTTTAGGCCAACTTTTTAGTAAAAGTTTTCCATTTTATTTTTGTTTCAGTAACATGAATATGGAAGTGGCGAAATGCGGCCAAAATATTTGCTAAGAACTTGAAATAAAATGATAAAGAAACAAAGAATGCTTTTATGCAAGCCATTTAGGGAAATCTTAATTATCGATTTTCCTTTTACACAGAACTTACCCGTTTTATGAGCTATGTTATCATCTTTTATCCCCAATTATCATGCTCATAAACCAGGCCATAACTTCCTGCTGAAAGGATCATGAAATTAAAATGGAATGGCAGAGCACCGAGCGCATCGAAAGTGTTAGTTGCTAACAAATAAACAAATTGATGATTGAAATTTTCGTCGACCATTTTCTGTAAACCCTTTCCTCATATCTCTCTTTTTTCCCTTTCCGGTTGCTTCAAACTGCTTTCTTGTTTACTTTTCTGCAGTTTGCAATTAATTTACAACAATTTCGTTCCATGGCCCTATTACTGACTCTTTACTTCTTATACTTCCTTATTCTACTATCAACTGGCAGGCAACCAAATGACCAAACAAGGGAATTGGCTGCCAGGATATATCTTCTTCTTTCCAACTTTAGTAATTGCAATGTAATGCAATAATTGCAATGTTTTTAGTAAAACATACACACATACCCTATACAAAAAAATGCTCAAAAATTAATTAAAATGACCAAAAGCTAAAAAGGCAAGGACGTAGCGTTAAGACCAAACCCCATCTATCACAGCAGCCGATGCTCAACAGTTACCATATAAGACTGAAAAGAACAAAAAAAGAGGCGTTTCATTGTCCCCCTAATATTCGAAAACAGGACATAAACAGACCAGAGGAAAAAGAAGTCTTTCAACGTCAAAATGATGGGTTAAGGAAAAGTAAAACGCCAAGAAACAACCGTCTGGAGATTGCAGAGCAACGGGCTAAGCCCTGAGAAAGATTAATTAAGTCCGCGTAGGCTGCTCCGAAAGCAAGAACAACAAAAACACCAACCAAACAAAGGCCCCAAGTGCGAGTCACACACCCAAAAATGATGCTCGCCACCTTGTTTCCAGATCCCGGCCTTATCCTTTGTAGCATACTTTTTAGCGTCGCGTGAGAAATTAAAATTTCAAAGCGAAACGTGTTGCCGCATTGCCAGTTTGTGTTTGTATTTGCATGTGTGTGTGGGTAAATTTTTACTGAACCAAGAACAACAAAAGCAACAACTGTAAACTGACAAAAAAAAATAACACAAAAAATAACAAAAACCAAACATAAAGCTTGAAAAATCAACAGGAAGCAGCTCGTCGCGTTGTCCCGGCTATTTATCCTCCTCTTTGCTTTCTCCTCGCCCTTTCTGTACTCTGTTGTATGTCCTTTTTCCTCTGGCTCATCTTTTCTTTTTCGCGTAATAAGCGCGATGTCAACAATGGATTACGAGGGCTACCAAAGCTTATAACCAGTCATTTCACGCACTGGGACACCAAAGATATACTTTGGTACTGAATTACTGAGAATGGTTAATTAAAATTTCTATTGCTTTTGTAGCTACTCTGTAGAATCTCTAAATAGCATTAAAAATCATAATTTTGCTTAGAAGGTAGTTTCCAAGCGCAAATCAATAAAAACGAAGAAACAAACAAGGCAATTAAAAATATTCAGACCATAACAATGATATATGTATGAGTCCTTCAGCATACATATGTCACTGTAATGGCCATCCAACCCTGTCTTGACTGACCCATCTATGTCCATAAACGCACTCCCACGCAGGCCAAGGCACCGCGTACGTCGGAACACAGGCACACTCACTCGCTCACATACAAGCCCTAGGACGCCTCTGTTAATGAGTTCCGCCTTGATGCTGATGAGGATGTTGTTTCTTGCTGGGATGCTGGGAGGATGATGAGCTTGTTGCTTTGCAACAATAAACGTGTTGAATGTCAAGAGTAGGGTTGTTGGTTTTTGAAAAAATATCGTATTGATGATATTTGCTGTGAAAAAAATATCAATCGATAATATTCAGAAATATCACCCAAAAAAATCGATATATCGAGTATTTTCGATATTTTTTATAGTCAGCTAAATTTGAAAAAAGGTTATTTTTAAATTTAAAAAAAGGTTTTAATATGTGTTTTCATCCGCCATGAACTGCAAATAAGACATATTTTTTTATTTAAAAAGTGAATTGAAAAAACAACAAATATTTATACCCACTCTCCAGCAACTTTTATTTAAGTTCTTTGAAATAAAAAATAACAAAATTATTAAGGACATTGTATTCAAATTTATTTATAAAAAAAACTTAATACAAAAAAAAAAAGTTTCATGGAATTCATGGAATATGTACTTAATAATTCTAATTACTTAATTCTCTTATTTAATGCACTTAATTACTCTTAATTACAAAATAAATCTTTCTTCAATGATTTAAAAAAAACTCTTTCGGTTATATGCTGGTCTGTCATTCGACTACGGGAGTCACAGACAATACATTTAATGGCAGAAGCCAACCGTTCAGATGGAACCGAACTTCCAGGCGTGATAAGAAAACTTAAAGCAACCTTCGCTAGCATCGGCATCGTTGAAATTTGTGAGTTCCAGAATTCCAACGGATTTGTCTCCCAACTACAAAATGGCATACTCAAGTAAACCTGCATTTCCTTTCTTTCGCAACAAATATCGGAGAACACCAACTCAAAAATATTATTATCGACTATTTTTGCCCAAAAAATATCACGATAATAATATTTTTTTAAGAGAAAATATATCGATATATCGATATTTTGATATATTTCCGACATCCCTAGTCAAGAGTATACATGAGCGAGTGTGTGCTTGTGCCACTTAAATGTATTCCTGCTGCTATCTCTTTTTATAATTAAATATGTTACTTAAATGATGACACAAGAGAGATGCTCCATCAAATCGTTTTTTGTTTTTGTTTTTGCGGCACATACGCATATTTTGTCAAAGCCACAACACAATTCCGGTTTTTGTGCCACGCACATACACAGTATTACACACACTCAGTGCGGGTGCTGCGAGTGGGCAATAAAAAACGCTTAAAAAGTAAAATTACTGCATTTGATAAAAACGACACCCCAAGGATTAGCCTTTAGTCCGGGAAATACGCACTTTCTCTTCCCGTTCCAAATCCGACTCCGGTTGTCCTGTGCACTCAAGCAGACGAAAAAGGTTAACCTCCAACGGGTCCTGGCCTTTTATTTATGTTTGGGTATTTGCGAGCATTGAAATTTTCCAGCTTCCTAACTCGAATTTTCCCTTTTTAACTTGGCCAACTCCAATTAGCCCTAAAATGGATTCGTGTTACGCACAAACTACAATACATTTACCTCAGAGATTTGTGGGGTCCCTCGAGCCTCCTTTTCCTGTTTCTCATTTGCCTACGCCCGTGAAAAGCTGAATGATTTCCCATTTCCGTTTTTATTTGGCTGTTTCCATTGATTTTTGGTTGGTTTTAAAGTATTTATTCGCCATTTTAACGGACAGACAAAATATTTCCATTTCATATCGAGAGGAAAGGGGATATTCTTTGTGGTTGAATGAGGGTGGGTGGGTATTCGCGCAGAAAACACTGAAATATTTATGAAATTGAAGAACACATACATATAAGAGTTAAAAGTTTGCTTGTGGGTTAATGTCTGCGTAATGAGTCGGGGAAGTGTTGAAATCTGCATTTACGCAGCCTTTGGGTAGCATTTGGGGAGTAATGTTATTAGACTGGCTGTTCTTTCAATAGCCCTGGAAAATTTGTATAATTTAAAATGTTCCACTCTCTTTCTCTTGTCCTGAAGGTGGAGTAATTTTCTTTAGCTGGATACTTCTTTATGGGGCATCACAAATTGTGTTAATAACTAAAACGAATTAAATGACCATGAGACGAAATGAGATGATCAAATAAAAGTCTTTCCAACAATTAGCCCCTTTATATTGACCAGAATGGTTTGGATTGCGTTGAAAATGAATCAAATCGTTTTTCGTATTAAAACTATTAATTGATTATATAATTTGATCATCAACTAATCAGAATTTTTTGTCTTTTCAGGTAACTTCTAGCTAGGCGCTTCGTTGAACACAGTGGCAGGAGTAGAGGCTGCAACAGAAGCACCAGGAAACATGGATCTGCCGTCGATGGTGCAGCGATCGGGTGACACGCTCATCGTGCGCAGCGTGGTCAGCGGCAATCAGCTGTATGCCGAGCAGGGCGGTGCCCACCATCCGGAGACCCACAACACCAACAACAATGGTAGCTCTGCTAAACCAAACGGCAACACCAGCTCCGCAAACACACTGGCGAGCTCGTCGCTCCTAGAGCGCTTCCGCTTGCAGCAACTTCTGCAGCAGCAGCAACAAGCTGCGGCAGCAGCTGCAGCAGTGGTCAACAGCGTGCAACAACAACAGCAACAGCAGCAACACCAGGCCACCATAAGCCTGGACGCCAAGGAAGAGGGCCTGCCGCAGTGCAAGATCAAGCGGAACTACAGCTGCAATCACTGCGCCTACTTCACGCAGAACCCACGCTACCACTTGACGCACCTGCGCGACGTGCACGGCGAGAAAATCGTGATCAACAAATGCAAGCTCTGCCTGTACGCGTCGCGACACTTTCAGAAGCTGGTGCGCCACATGAAGATGGTGCACGGCTGCACCGACGGCATACCCAGTGGCCATGGCCAGGCCCGGGGCAAAAGAGGAATGAGTCGGGAGGCCCGCAAGCGTCGGCTCGAGGAAAGTGTGGGTGTGATGGGCGGTCAGTCCCCTTCGGTAGCAGTGCCCGATGTACCCACCCTGGAGCAGGTGAAACGCGAGCTGCAGCGGCAAGAGGAGAAGCTACAGCGCGACATTGAGGCCTACAAGCAGCGCCAGCGCGAAGAGGAGCAGCAGCAACGCGAACTCGAGCTGGCCAACAGTGCGTATGAGCGACAGATGCAGGTTTTACGCGAGTTTGAGCGACAGTCGCCCGCCGAACCCCCTACGCCTTCGCCAACTAGCGGCTCGGCCACGCCGCCCTCGAACGGTGAGGAGCCTCAAAACCGTCTGCTTAAGTGCAGCGCCTGCGAGTTCACCACGCTGTACCGCACACAGCTGCGAGCCCACGAGCTGGCCGAGCACGGCAAGACCAAGTTCTTCCGCTGCGACAAGTGCAGTTACGTGACCCACATTAAAGCCCGATTCAGCAAGCATGTCAAGTATCACTCCATGCCGATGATCAAGTGTGTGACCTGTGACTTCCGCACCCCCTACAAGTGGAATCTCGATCGGCATATGAAGAATCATGGCGGTGCCGGTGCTTTTAAGTGCGCCGCGTGCGATTTCACCGCCGACATTAAACAATCCTTGACGGTGCACGAGATGAACCACCATGTGCCGCCTGTTGGCAACGCCGGGTCCATTTGGCCCAGGAGACAAAACAAGGTGGGTGCCAGCGAGATGTGTGATGATTTCCTAAGCGACTCCGCTGAACTAGAGGACCAGTACAACAATAACAATGTTGATGACGATCTGGATGGCGGCGAGGATCCCGAGGAGGCCATGAGCGGTGGCGAGGACCAGCATTTACATCACTACGGCAAGCGGAGCAAGTACGACGACGAGGAGGAGCCAACGGACCTTTCGCAAAAAGGGGGTTGCTCCTCGGACACCTCCAGCGTGGGCACAGCAACGCCACGTGCCCAGCGACCGATGCCCAATCTCATTCCGATCAACAAAGGACCCAAGGAGTAAGTAAACCCAATTGAGGTTCATTACAATTTTTCTAAACCATTTAACTAACTTTTAAATGAAAATTTTTCAGCGTCCTAAACCTCTCAAAGGAGACCAATGCTTCGCGCAGCTCTCTGACCGAAATCGCATCAATGTTCTTCAACGAAAAGCAAATCTCAGAAATGCTGGATAAGTCTGATGTTCCCCAGCTATCACCTGCGACAACAGTGGCCTCCCAAAGCTCCAGTCGCAGCCTCCTGACCAAGAAATCCAGCTCCAGCTTCCTGGACAAGCTACGGACGGGGGCTCAGCACGAGAACCTGGTGTGCCAGTGCGGTCATGTGGCCAAATGCCTCTCGGAATCGATTATCCATGGAAAGAGCTGCCACGCATCCGCGGTTATCATCGATGATGACGACGCTGCCCTGCACGAGGACGATGCCGACGACCGTTTGGAGATCGACGAGGACGATGAGGATCACCACTCGCACTCTGCTTTAAATCTTAGCGTGACTGGTTCAACGCGCTGCCAACATTGTCGCCACCGCTGCAAGTCGTCGACAGATCTGCTTCACCATCTGACGCAGTGCATTGAGGCAATCCGCTGTGCCAATGAGATGTACGATTCGAATTCGGGAGAGAGCGCCGACCGGCGACCAGATCCCCAGGCACTTCAGCAGCAGGCCGCCGTTCAGCAGCAACGCGTCTGCATTTGGAACAAGACAGCCAAGGAAATAGCCGCCGCCACCGCAGCCGCTGCAGTACATCAGGAGGCTGGAAGCAAGAGCATGGTCAAGTCCCCAGCCGGAAGCCAGACCGCCAGCAACGAGGAAAACAGCTATTACGGCGTGGAGACGGCACCCGGCTATGGCGAGGTAAGTCCGGAGTTCAATACGCACTGATCCCAAATATGGTTTCTTTCCCCAAACTATGATTTATTTTTCGAACATTCTTTTGTGATATTTGAGCTTAGTTTTTAAAATAAATAAGTAATTAGAAGACAGATAATTCTGCCTTCTAATTACTGAATACTGAATAGATTACTGAAAGTTGAATAGATTTTTCAACCAGATAGTAGACCTTTCTTTTGAAACCCCCTCTTGATCCCTGCACGATCTACTGCCACGTCAAAATGAAATTTGACTCTTTCACGCACTGCAGGTAACCAAAAAGATGACGCCCGAAGAGGAGGCCGCCAACTCCTCGCTGAAGAAGGTGTACAAGTGTCCGCACTGCAGCTTCTGGGCCTCCACGGCTTCCCGATTCCATGTCCACATCGTCGGCCATCTGAACAAGAAGCCGTTTGAATGCTCCCTTTGCTCGTACCGCTCCAATTGGCGCTGGGACATCACCAAGCACATCCGCTTGAAGACTATCCGCGATCCCTCCCATAAAACAGCAAAGGTTCTGATGAACGACGAGACAGGACGCCGCAACTACACCAAGTACAACAAGTACATCACCTTGATGAAGGTCACCGAGGAAGATGGCGATCCTAAGCTGATGAAGTCCGGCGAGATGACCCCGAATCAGGTGGCCTCGCTGGCCTTCCTAAAGGACTACGCCAAGGTAGGGGCCGTCCCCAGTCAGGACATTACATTTGAGCCGGTGCTACCGAGCAAGCCGAGTGCCTTGGACGATGCCCATCTGACAGACAACCTAATACGCATCCCTCTGCTGGCAACCATGATGAATGCGGCGATGGCCCAGCAACAGCACCAACAGCAACAGCAGCAGAAGGATCACCAGTCTGCCATGATTACGCCTTCGGTGACCATATCACCCGTGAAAAGGCAGGGACCGAGCCTCCCAATGAGCGGAAAACCCAGCGACGATCTTATTACCGAGGTGCACCAGGAAGGTAATGAAAAGAGGACCGTCTACCGCTGTCGCAAATGCAACTTCGGGTGAGTTTTATGGCGAATAACAGACTTAGAAATATATTTAATTCCTGGTCATAAATTGCAGTCACCAAAATCGTGATGCTGTGCTGGCTCACGTCAAAATCCATTACCAAGATTCTAGCTATCCAAAGTCGAGCCCCTTGGCCAGTACCTCGCCGCTGCAGGTTTCCGTTGGTGGAAACCAACAATTTCTGATTAACAAGGTATTTGCCGCCTTGTGTCTCACACAGCCGCAATCGCCAAATTCCAGTTCCGCCGGTACCAGTCCGGCTGGGATCTCAGCTGGACTGCTTCAGCGGGCAATCCAGGAGGCCCAACACTCGCCAACGCCCAACTCCAGCGCTCTGAGCGGACTAGCCTTGGCGTTGGCGGGCGGAAAGAATCCGCCGGGGGCCAATTCCAATACGACGAAAGCCAGTGCCGCCTCCATTTTAGAGCACGGTGAGCAGAAAGCGAGTCAAAACGAGGCAAGTGCCGACAGTCTGACGTCGCCGAACACCACCACCGCCACCAATACCGTCACTACCACTACCAAAGCTATTATAACTAGCACCACCAAAGACACCGCTAAATCGCTGCAGGATCTGCTAACCTCACCACGCAGCGCTAGAAATGGAACTCATCATACCTCTTATGCTAACAGTAACTTGGTTTCGGTTGTGGGAAACGGATTCCGGCCGGATGCTTCCGTCTACGTCGCCTCATCTACCAACAACAACACCACACCACCACCACCACCACCAACTACCACTTCCACAACCAAGATCAATGCATCGCCTTTGCCAGTAACTACCACTCCTACTCCTATTTCTACTGCCACACCAACTCAGTCACTGGGTTCGGGTAATCACCACCATCACAGGTCATCCACTTCATCCCACCATAATGACTCCCATCATTTGCACATTGCCGGTGATGGCTACCTGGCAGCGGGATTAACTCACAGCCCACACTCCACACCCACTAACCCAAAGGATAAAACAAACTCCCAAACGTTTCCCTCGTCATCCTCCTCCTCGTCGTCGTCTTCGTCTTCGTCGGCGTCAGCATCATCGATAGCGTCAAACTCATCGGCTGCCGGTTCTGTATCCGCATCATCCTGTACTGCATCATCTCCTCCTCCACCGCCAGCTAAAACGCCACAGCAACAACAGGTGCCTGGTCAAATGCCGTCGACGAGATTCCATAGCCATAGTCCATTTAGTCCGGGTTCAGGTGCAGGCGCCGGCATCCTGAGCATGACCGAGGGCGAACGTCGCGACCCGTCGCCTTACCGATGCGGCCACTGCCACCAGGTCTCGAATTGGAAGCATGTCATCCAGGTATGGTCGAGTGCACTTAAATGGTTTTGTGTTTTGTCCCATTCAAAAACCGCAACGAACCGAACCGGGCGGAGACTCCAGTCCACAAAATTTTTCGAGAGTAGATCCGCCAAGTTAGGTATTGCCTTGTAGTGGGGTCTTTACTGAAAAAGTTAATTCAAAATGGGAGTATGTATGTAGTTTTATACATATTCCAATTATATTTCGTTTCTGAAAAAAACTTCAAATTTCATAAACTTAAACATGATAAAGTCTAGTGTGTAGTACATTAATTTCGAGAATGCCGTGAAAGAGGACTCAATAGATAAAGCTCCTTTGTTAGTTTAGCTCTTAATTTAGAAAATTTACAGTCCCAGATCCGTCACCTTCTGTCACCCATCTCACCACTCCATCTGTGTCCGTAGTCCCTGCGCTGCGCTGGTAAATATATGCAAAGTCAATTTTGTTGCCCTTTTTTTTATTCCCGAGTTTCGTTTAAATGTGTGGTGTCTGGTCTTGCTTTTGTTTGTATTTTATAAGATAAACGATTAACTTTAAGAAATCATTGGTGAAAGTCTTGCTTGCTCTCTCTTACCTTTCTCGAACTAAATGTAATTCATACAACCAAATTTCATAAAAAACAAACCCATGACCCATAAAAATTATATAAAATTAGAGCTAACCATTAAGGGATTCCCATTACGGTGCGAGGGTTTTCGATTGGGCTAAACTCATGGTTTTTATTAATTTTCCCCACAAATGGAAAACGAGGTAAAGAAGTAGAGATGTTTTCTTTTCGAAACAGAATGAAATACTAACTCATCAGTTATATATAATTTTTAACTTTCGTAAATCGAAAGCATTGCTGTTCTTCACCTCTGAGAAATATACATTAAACACATCACACAAACATAATAATTACAAAACAACACTCGAGACAATGTGCCACTTTGAGGTTTAATAATTGAAGCCTTTTCTTTCTAATTTTCCCCAACAGCGGCATTGTCGCTTAAAGCATTCCGGGGATATTCGGATCGAGACCCTTGAGCGCGGAGTCAGTGTCCCAGCGAATGCCCCACCCGTCTACAGACCCCTGGGGGCAGGTGCCAGCAACGAATCTCAGAGCCACATTCCCTCTACTCCCAGTCTAAAAGCCGGAGGCATAAACAATGCCGCCAACAATCACAACGCCCAACTAGTTATGACCAACAAACAGCTAGAACAGCTCCTCCACTCACCGCTCTCCGCCAGTGCCGCCGCGGTGGTGAATGCCGCAAATACCCAGCAGGATCTTCAGGCAGCGGCCGCCTATTGGGCAGCCGCTTGCAAGGCAATGGTCACCAATGGCAGTGCCGAGGAAATGCTGCAACTGCAGCAGAACGACCAGATCGAGATCACTCGGTTGCCCTTGGACCATTCCGCCGTCAACAACAACAACAACAATACGAAGAGCAAGCAGCAAAAGTGCCCGGTGTGTCCCTACATCTCGGAAAGCAAGTCCCAGATGAACTACCACGTATCCCTGCACAAGCCCACCCAGTACGAGTGCAGACTGTGCACATTCGTCTGCGCCAAGAAGCAGCACCTGAGCAGCCACATGCGCAGTGTCCACCAGCAGCAAATGGCCTCTGGAGCAGCTGGCGCTGGAGGAACAAACACTGGTGCTACTGCCATCACATCTGGAGGTCCTCCTTTGGGTCTCGAATTTAGTGTGGCTCTGCAGTTGGCCGCTGCAGCGAAGCAAGTGCAACAGCTGCCTGCTTCCACACCGCTCTCGATTGATCTTTCCCAGCTCCAGCTGGATGCTGCTTCGGATGCGGAGCTGAATCCACAACAACTACCACCAGAGTATCAGTACAAGCTGATCAGTTACTGTCCTCGATGCCCAGCTCGCTTCGCCCAAAAGCATAACGACGAACGCAACGCCAAGCAAGAGCTGGAGCAGCATCTTCTGGCTCATAGCTGCTCCTCTGGCGACCTGGATGCGGAGGATCAGGGCTATGTGTGCACATACTGCGAATATCGCACAACGAAGGAGACCTTGCTGCAGCTTCACAGGGCAGTGCACATGTCCCACTACCAGGAGAAGTGCCAGCAATTGTATAAAAACTGCAAGGAGGATGTAGCATACCCGGCGCCCAAGTTGCTTCAGTTAACAGGTCCAGAAACCATCTGGGTGGTGGATAATGAACTGAGCCTGCAGCTTCTTCTACAGTCCAACGATAGTGGCACAGTTAGCTCGTCAACCGGTGGCTTCGACAACCAAAACTCGCTTCTTAAGAAGCAACTGGAATCTGGATGCGCTGGAGGTCAGGTGGCTTCACTTACAAAAACACCCGAGGAAGCCCCCGATGAGGACGAGGAGCGGCACAGCACCTCTACCCCTTCAACCAGTGCCTCTGTGGCCACCAGTGACCTAGCAGCAGATGCAAGTAGTGATGCCGGATCCATCGATGTACCCCAATCTACTCCGACGCCAGAACGCTGTCTCCATTGTCCATTTGAAACGCTTGATCATGGGGAACTGCAGCAGCACCTCCAAAAACACACCTGCGAGAATCCTCCGCCTTCAAACTATCACCAGTGTGCCCATTGTGATTACAACGCAAAGGAGGAGTCGGAAATTGAGGAACACACACCAGTGCATTTCAATGCGATCGAGAAACTGAAGTCCGTGGAGTTTTTCACCTGCTATGACCAGTTGGAGATAAGTGTGGAGCAGGAACCGGAAGGAGAGCAGGTGAAGCAGCTTACCGAGGATAACAACAATCAGGACAACGTCATTAACGCTAATGTTCAACAGGAGAACGAAAATCCAGTAGAGGCACCGGAAGAAGATGAAGAAGTGTTGGAGGACCCGAAAGCCAAGAAGCCAAGTACCAAGCTGATCCTCTACAAGAACGACGGTAGCTTGATTGTGAAGCCCTCCCATGAGACCGAATGCTCTTTGGTGGACGCGCAGAAGAGCGAGAATATCAGTGATCGCCTGCGTCGCAGAATCTTGCGAGGCACCTCCACCAATCAGCCGGAGGACTCTCCATCCCAGGAGCGTTCTAGTACACCGGAGAAAATGATATTGGTTAACGCCAAGACGGGCAAAGTCATTTCCAGAAAGTAGGCCGACCAAAGCCAAATCCCCTTTTTAACTTTAATCATACAGCCTCTTAGTTTTTTTATATTTGAAACATTTCTTGGTTATGTTAATATTTTGTTGTTGTGTTATTTTATATATTTTTTTCCTATTAGTGGAGATCGGCATTTGATTTGTTATAGGCACCTTTTCGGGGTTTATTTTTCTCTAACACATCCGACCAGAAACACACAAACACACCTAGTTGGAACAAGTTCCTGCACTTATAACTTGTTTAAGTCCTAAGTTAATCTTACCTATTCATAATTTATCATTAACCGAATATTCGAATATTTCTGTATATGGGGATATTAACTGCTGGATTGCGGCAATTTTTAATTTAAATTTATTTTATTGTAAACTATCAAAGAGGAAACTGTAATCAAAAAATGATTGATTGCCAATTATATTTAATATGTTTTAAATGGGTAAACAGCCCAAAAAGAGCAAAATCCAAAAGCGTTTCAAAGAAATCAAACTTTGTATAAAAGAAGACAAAACTGTTAAAAGATAAAATTCAAAATTAAGTCTTGCTTACATTTATTTGATTAATTTTTGTCTGAATGGGAACTGTGATTATTGATAATTGTAAATGAAATAAACAAAAAAAAAAATGATAATGAAACGCATATATCATACAATGAATATGGTACTATATACATACTATATAATTCTATAATAATAATATATATACATATATATATATATTTACACAGCTGCTGCAGAAACCCACACAATTTAAACGCAATTCAAGTATCAAGAGAGAATTGGGAAATGTTGCAATATTTGCAATATAAGTTGCACAAGTATAGCACAGTTAAAATTAGTAATTTAGTTTATAGTATAGTTTTTCTTTGAAATAGTTTTGTTCTTAATTTTATTTCAACGATTGTTTTTATAAAAAACAACGTTTTTATAGCACAGTGTAAGCGTAAAAACACTACAAACAAGAAAAATTGTTATCATAAACTCTAAGCAAACAAAAAGAACACATGTGGAATAGCGGGGCCATATTTAAATAGTTAAAAGCAAATTTAAAACCTAAACCAAGCAAATCAAAACCAGAAGGTTACGTAAGCAAGCGTAATAAGTAACGTATACAGAAATTTACTTGAATATAACTGCGAACCGCCTTTGATATGCATATATACATCTTATACCGATACCAATATATCTATACACCCATACATATATATTATATTGAAATAGTCCTTAACATTAAAATTAAAGACCTAGTGTAAATAACTTTGTTTTTGTTTTTGACGCACACAAACACAAACATACGGATCACTTTGAAACACAAACACACAGATTTATGGCATTGAATTACAAACAAAAAAATGTACAAAAAACAATTGTTAATAAAGAAATCAAATAAAAATACAACATTTGCATTTAAATATGATCTCTCTGTCATTATTTCAACGTTACTTATTTTTAATAACGAAATGGCATGGAAATTCACAGGATGAAAGCAATAGGATGTACAAAGTATACTGCTATTAGCCCCAGACATGAAGGAGACATATCCGAGGTTCACCAGCTGAGTCGATATAAGCATCGGACTACTATATCCGACATTTGCGATACATATCCGATCTTAACTGCAGGAGTATATTAACTTCGAATATTTACAAATAATTTTATGACAAAAGTAACTTACGTTCCTAACTTGATCTGCGCGGATACCATACGAGTCCAAGATCCAAATCAGGAAGCTCTATCTCTTATAGTTTTCGAGATCCACGCGTTCAAAATTTTTTCTTGTATCCAAGATCATTTTTTAATATTCGTTATACAGCCATGGCATTGAAGCCCAGTTGTTCAGCAGTCATTTCCTAGGTCAATCTTGGATCTTCGTCATCAAAAAAATCGCCCGTTTGTCAGATGTATATTAACTATAAAAATACTTAAGCATCAAAAGATTTTTAAAAATCCTTAGTACTGGCGCTACAGAAATTCGCGGTTTATGGGGGCGAGAGTGGGCGTGACAAAAATTTTAAACAAACTTAAACTGCGTTCAGTGGCGGATTTAACAGGTGGGCAAAGGCGCGCTTGCCCACTGGGCCCCCCGTCGAAAGGCTTTCAGGGCCCCTCGTGCTGAAAGTTACACCTTCGATTTCTTTTCCATAAATCTGCATCAAAATCTGAAAACAAAATATTTTTAAGATTTTTTGTCAAATTTTCTGGGCTGTCCCCTTCAAAATGTGCAGAATGCATGGGGTGCCCCATATGACCCACTGCGAAGGCCATATCTTAGGAAATATTCATCCGATTCTTAAGCAGAATACCTTAAACGATTTGTGCATTGATTCTTCATAAATCTGCATCAAAATCTGGGAACAAAATATGTTTAAGATTTTTTGCCAAATTTTCTGGGCTGTCCCCTTCAAAATGTGCAGAATGCATGGGGTGCCCCATATGACCCACTGCGAAGGCCATATCTTAGGAAATATTCATCCGATTCTTTAACGGAATACCTTAAACGATTTGTGGATCGGATCTCCATAAATCTGCATCAAAATCTGGGAACAAAATATTTTAAAGATTTTTTGTCAAATTTTCTGGGTTGTCCCCTTCAAAATGTGCAGAATGCATGGGGAGCCCCATATGACCCACTGCGAAGGCCATATCTTAGGAAATATTCATCCGATTCTTGAACGGAATACCTTAAACGATTTGTGGATCGGATCTCCATAAATCTGCATCAAAATCTGGGAACAAAATATTTTTAAGATTTTTTGTCAAATTTTCTGGGCTGTCCCCTTCAAAATGTGCAAAATGCATGGGGAGCCCCATATAACCCACTGCGAAGGCCATATCTTAGGAAATATTCATCCGATTCTTTAACGGAATACCTTAAACGATTTGTGGATCGGATCTCCATAAATCTGCATCAAAATCTGGGAACAAAATATGTTTAAGATTTTTTGCCAAATTTTCTGGGCTGTCCCCTTCAAAATGTGCAGAATGCATGGAGAGCCCCATATGACCCACTGCGAAGGCCATATCTTAGGAAATATTCATCCGATTCTTGAACGGAATACCTTAAACGATTTGTGGATCGGATCTCCATAAATCTGCATCAAAATCTGGGAACAAAATATTTTAAAGATTTTTTGTCAAATTTTCTGGGCTGTCCCCTTCAAAATTTGCAAAATGCATGGGGAGCCCCATATGACCCACTGCGAAGGCCATATGTTAGGAAACATTCATCCGATTCTTGAGCGGAATACCTTAAACGATTTGTGGATCGATTCTTCAAAAATCTGCATCAAAATCTGGGAACAAAATATTTTTAAGATTTTTTGTCAAATTTTCTGGGCTGTCCCCTTCAAAATGTGCAAAATGCATGGGGAGCCCCATATGACCCACTGCGAAGGCCATATCTTAGGAAATATTCATCCGATTCTTGAACGGAATACCTTAAACGATTTGTGGATCGATTCTTTAAAAATCTGCATCAAAATCTGGGAACAAAATATTTTTAAGATTTTTTGTCAAATTTTCTGGGATGTCCCCTTCAAAATGTGCAAAATGCATGGGGAGCCCCATATGACCCACTGCGAAGGCCATATCTTAGGAAATATTCATCCGATTCTTGAACGGAATACCTTAAACGATTTGTGCATTGATTCTTCATAAATCTGCAACAAAATATGTTTAAGATTTTTTGCCAAATTTTCTGGGCTGTCCCCTTCAAAATGTGCAGAATGCATGGGGTGCCCCATATGACCCACTGCGAAGGCCATATCTTAGGAAATATTCATCCGATTCTTGAACGGAATACCTTAAACGATTTGTGGATCGGATCTCCATAAATCTGCATCAAAATCTGGGAACAAAATATTTTAAAGATTTTTTGTCAAATTTTCTGGGTTGTCCCCTTCAAAATGTGCAGAATGCATGGGGAGCCCCATATGACCCACTGCGAAGGCCATATCTTAGGAAATATTCATCCGATTCTTTAACGGAATACCTTAAACGATTTGTGGATCGGATCTCCATAAATCTGCATCAAAATCTGGGAACAAAATATTTTAAAGATTTTTTGTCAAATTTTCTGGGCTGTCCCCTTCAAAATTTGCAAAATGCATGGGGAGCCCCATATGACCCACTGCGAAGGCCATATGTTAGGAAACATTCATCCGATTCTTGAGCGGAATACCTTAAACGATTTGTGGATCGATTCTTCAAAAATCTGCATCAAAATCTGGGAACAAAATATTTTTAAGATTTTTTGTCAAATTTTCTGGGCTGTCCCCTTCAAAATGTGCAAAATGCATGGGGAGCCCCATATGACCCACTGCGAAGGCCATATCTTAGGAAATATTCATCCGATTCTTGAACGGAATACCTTAAACGATTTGTGGATCGATTCTTTAAAAATCTGCATCAAAATCTGGGAACAAAATATTTTTAAGATTTTTTGTCAAATTTTCTGGGATGTCCCCTTCAAAATGTGCAAAATGCATGGGGAGCCCCATATGACCCACTGCGAAGGCCATATCTTAGGAAATATTCATCCGATTCTTGAACGGAATACCTTAAACGATTTGTGCATTGATTCTTCATAAATCTGCAACAAAATATGTTTAAGATTTTTTGCCAAATTTTCTGGGCTGTCCCCTTCAAAATGTGCAGAATGCATGGGGAGCCCCATATGACCCACTGCGAAGGCCATATCTTAGGAAATATTCATCCGATTCTTGAACGGAATACCTTAAACGATTTGTGGATCGATTCTTCATAAATCTGCATCAAAATCTGGGAACAAAATATTTTTAAGATTTTTTGTCAAATTTTCTGGGCTGTCCCCTTCAAAATGTGCAAAATGCATGGGGAGCCCCATATGACCCACTGCGAAGGCCATATCTTAGGAAATATTCATCCGATTCTTGAACGGAATACCTTAAACGATTTGTGGATCGGATCTCCATAAATCTGCATCAAAATCTGGGAACAAAATATGTTTAAGATTTTTTGTCAAATTTTCTGGGCTGTCCCCTTTAAAATGTGCAGAATGCATGGGGAGCCCCATATGACCCACTGCGAAGGCCATATCTTAGGAAATATTCATCCGATTCTTGAACGGAATACCTTAAACGATTTGTGGATCGATTCTTCATAAATCTGCATCAAAATCTGGGAACAAAATATTTTTAAGATTTTTTGTCAAATTTTCTGGGCTGTCCCCTTCAAAATGTGCAAAATGCATGGGGAGCCCCATATGACCCACTGCGAAGGCCATATCTTAGGAAATATTCATCCGATTCTTGAACGGAATACCTTAAACGATTTGTGCATTGATTCTTCATAAATCTGCAACAAAATATGTTTAAGATTTTTTGCCAAATTTTCTGGGCTGTCCCCTTCAAAATGTGCAGAATGCATGGGGAGCCCCATATGACCCACTGCGAAGGCCATATCTTAGGAAATATTCATCCGATTCTTGAACGGAATACCTTAAACGATTTGTGGATCGATTCTCCATAAATCTGCATCAAAATCTGGAAACAAAATATTTTTAAGATTTTTTGTCAAATTTTCTGGGCTGTCCCCTTCAAAATGTGCAGAATGCATGGGGTGCCCCATATGACCCACTGCGAAGGCCATATCTTAGGAAATATTCATCCGATTCTTGAACGGAATACCTTAAGCGATTTGTGGATCGATTCTTCATAAATCTGCATCAAAATCTGGGAACAAAATATTTTTAAGATTTTTTGTCAAATTTTCTGGGCTGTCCCCTTCAAAATGTGCAGAATGCATGGGGTGCCCCATATGACCCACTGCGAAGGCCATATCTTAGGAAATATTCATCCGTTTCTTGAGCGGAATACCTTAAACGATTTGTGGATCGATTCTCCATAAATTTGCATGAAAATCTGGAAACAAAATATTTTTAAGATTTTTTAAAAAATTTTTTAGTCTGGTCGCACTGGTTCTTTGGTATTAAAAACAGTATTTAAAATTGGATATTATACGGTTAGCACTATCGATATTTTTATACCGATGTTTGACGATAACCAAACAAAGAAGAGTGAGAAAATACCAAAAAGAGGCTTATATTTTAGTTTACTTTGATTACCAAAACTTGGATTTACCCGTCATTTACCCACAATTGGACTGTAGAACAATTTAGACCAAGAATAATTAGAACCGAAGCACCCCGACCAGGTACCACATGGATATGGATACCAAGTCCAACGACGACTCAGCAGGAAGCGATTCGCTGGACAAATCTATGCAAATCAATTGTGTAATGGTGGAAACCACTAGTTCCGCCATTGTGGAGGCAGGTGTCTCCTACAGCTCCTCCGAGGAGCTGGACACCTGCAGTAGGGACTCGGCTGCGGAGGAGGAAAAAGTGGGAAAGGCACTCAGTTCTGGGAAGCAGGCGGATCAAAAGACTGAACCTGGGCCAGATGATAGTCCGAACAGAGAAACTGCGCCCTGCAACTCGTCCACAACTTCCACATCCTGCACTGCCTTCGAGACGAAAGTCAAGCTTATCTCACAGAACCTCAAGGAAACCACTCTTGCTGAGACCTCGGCGTCTGCCTCCAGCAGCAGCAGCCTGCCCGAGCCACAAAGCCACAACAACCCCTTCTCCTCTACAGAAGACTCAGCGTCGCGCGGAAAAAAGGTGCGATTCCATCCGGATGCCAAGGAGAACGATGGTGGAAACTGGGTAAAGAAAAAGAGACGCTCAGCGCAAACGAAGCGAGCATCCTCGCCCAGCGGCATGAAGTTTCACGGTTTTTTGGACCAACAGGCAGAGGAATACGACGAAGACGAAGTAGAGGAGGAAGAAGAGCCGGATGAGATGTTTGACTTTGCTAAAACAATTGCCGATGCGAAAGACTACCTCAAAGATCATCCGCTGACGTTTGTGAATCGCTTTGAGCAGAAAGGGGAACTGACTTGGGGTCAGGACGTTGGTAACGTCGAATTTTGGTCAAATAGTGGTCTGTCCGTTGATCAGATCAAGTCTGTTTTAGACGAATTAGAGATGTTTAGGAACGGAGGAAGCTTTATGGAGGATGCGCACGATGAAGATTTTTACAAGCGTATCAAGCCGGAGAACGGAATCGAGCGTGTGCTGGGGAAGGAGACCAAGGCGGGAAAGGCAAGTACATCTTTTTCTATTGTATTTAAGGCATATAAAGCTATATGTAATACCAATAAGTCTGTAGCATCCATTAATGAACACGAATTTTTGATTAATAATCCTTATTCATTTTACAGGTACAATTTCTTTTGCGCTACGAGAACCAAGGTGGCCTTTTCTGGGAGTCTGAAGATTTCATTAAACGCATGTGTCCCACACTTCTCAAGGCCTACGAAAAAAATCGCGAGCGAAGACAGCAGCTTTTGGTTAGTAAATTAGTTTTTTTTATAAAAAAGTTTAAATGTTTAACACAAATTTATTTGCAGATGCATCACGTTGCCAAGCGGCAGAGTTTGAGACAGCGGTACACGGATTTCTAGTAGCAAGCGGCATAGGCTTAGATTTATAATTAGGTTCCATTACTTATAACATTTTTGTAAAATGAAGTAAAATATTTCTTTTGTTGAACAAAATGAGCACACTAGTGTTATTTAGGTCACTAAAAAAACTCTTACCGGTGCATGGTTTCATTATTTTTCATAAAAATTGGTTATATTACTGTGGATGGCACTCCACGAGGATAAAGAACCGCATGGCTTAGTATGGGCCAGGAGGCTACTATATAGCCGGAGAACCATTTATATATCTAAAATGATATAACAATAGGAAGGTATTCCTATATCATTCCTATTCATTTCGTTTGGAAGAAATTTGGGTGAAAGTGAATCATTTTCGACTCACTAAATTGAATACCATTATATTTACGAACAAACGTCAACTGGTTCCTCACACCGATCATTCCAATCCGACTTTTCATTCAAAAGTCTTATAAAATTAAAAAAAAAAATTGTCTAATTTTTTAACTTCTTGTTTTATTTTTCTGTGTTCACTATTTTTTTCTTGGCAATCCAAAAAATTCGAACTTCTTACTTTTTTTTATTTTACGTAAAAATCATAACTTTAAAATCAAACTATTCGAAATATTATATGCAATTATTAGCTATTTAAGCTATTATTTTATTGAATTGATCAAATAAAATACTTTGATAACGGAATAAAATAAAAATGAATAACTATATTTTTACTTTCATCTTTTTCTTTGAGTATTTATTACTAAAAATGAAATTAAATTAAGGGACTTGTGAATAGATTCATCATTTCTGTGCTGTAATCACTCAGTGAAACCTCGATATCTTCCGATTCAACAACGGTATGGTTTAAAACTTTTTGCGATAATTATTTATTTATTTTTTTGTTACCGTTGTTGCCCTAAATTTTAGAGTCTAAAGACTAGAGTCGCTGGTTCTAGTCCACCATTAAACACTGGCTATTTAATTTATTTTACCCTAAATAAAATAAGACTTTGGCGCTTTTTATTTGCTCTGACTCATCCTACAAGGCGAGCTACAATTAAATCCTGGTCCTCTCCTCGTTATCATCCTGGGTTCAAAGGAGCCCAGGATTATCCAAAGGGTATCGTTAACAATATTATCTGCTTTAAGCCCTCCACCTGCACAATAACAGAATAATCTTTAAATTCTTCCTCAAATGGGGGCCTGATTAACAAAACATTTAACAAAAGATTTTAACAAAAAGAGGATTGTTGGCTTTATATATCTAGTTAAAGAAAAAAATTCATTGGTTTTCAATATTAAAAGAAATTTAATTATCGTTTTGTGATTTTTTATTTATAAGTTTTATTTCTATTGTTTAAGACATTTTTGATAAGACTATGAATATAATATAATTTTTATTTCGTCTACCATGCCTTGGAATAACTTTCTTAAAATATACATTCTAAAAAATTTGTCAGTTCAGTTCAATCAGTTGGCTCCCGTATTGAAAAAAAAAAATATTTTTGAATATAATCATTTAAATAATTGATAAAAAAAAAATATTAACAAATTTTAAATATGTGAGTGCAAGTACTTTTCGACAAGTGTTGCCATACAAAATAATGCTCGTCTCTTTGGTATTTTATTTTTCTTTATTTCCAGCTGACTTGACGATTTTCATCTTTTTCGGTATTTTCGATATTTCCGATATGGTACGTCGGACGCGAAAACAAAAATTAAAATTAAAAAATTGAAAAAGATAGGCGGACGTGTACATATTTAGTGTGTTGTAAGAAAACTTCAAAGCCGATATCTTCACTTGATCAAAGAAGCAGCATATAGTGTGCAAGCAGTCCGATAACCTGCCCTAGTATTTAAACAAAAGAGAAATTTTTTGCGTGGTCACCAGTCATTGCTATTGGCGTTGCAGTCTTCTGTTTGGGAAGTTGTTGCGCTCCTTACCGTGTCCGGACTGAGATCGACGGCGTTACGTCTGGAAAGGAGACAAAGAAGGACAAGACAGCAGGTGTAACTCTGATTTGCGAGGCTAAGGTAAGTTAATGTGCCTCGCCTGCCTCGCCCCCGATTCAATTTTTCCTGCCGCTTGCTCGGCCCATCACCCTTGTGATTATATATCTTACAAATGCGCAGATAACTCTCATGGGGTTGGGGAATCGCTATACTTCGGATAGATTTTAATTATATAAGGTTTCCGCATTGAATTCAATGAAAATTGTCGAGATATTGTTTACTGCACTCGTGCTCAGAGCTCCAATCCCCTGCCATCTTTTGCATTCCGCACCCTTAGCTGATTGCTAAAAATAGTTGCAGCAGTGCATTTTCTGTCATTTTCGTGAGATCTGCACCCGTTTCGCATTTGCGGCAGGTCAGTTGTCCTGATCTTACAAATTCCGCATCCTGGTGGTGCGTATCCGCCAACAAAGGGGCTCTCCGTACGGGGCCATGTAGATCAGACGGAAACGGCATTGTCTTGTCTTGAACTTGACGTTGACCGCTGGACTTTGTTGTTTATTGGCTGTCTGCTGCGCGTGGCACTCTTTTTTTTTCTTCTTATACAATTGTAGAATATGTATGTATATTACAAATCTATGGAGCATTCCATCCAGCATCGTTTATTAGGTGACTCCAGCCACATACATACCTCTGAGTATCCGTTTGTCTAGATGAAAACTCACTTGTTTAGCTAAGTTTTAAATTCGTCTCAAAAATAGACATTCACATTTATTTGTTTGAAGAGTATGCAATTATCGGCAAGAAGCTGGCCTTTCTTTCTTGTTTTGTCTTTTTGTTTGGTTCATTAACCCACATCGACGCCAGTTTTTCAGCTGAAGGGGCAAAGGAAAAACTACGCAACAAACAAACAAAAACAGCGGAAAACCCAAACTGCGCATCGCTTCAAGACGGATCGGAGAAATGCCGGAAGAAGAGCCTCCGCAGAAGCCCATGGAAGAAGGGGAGGATGAGGAACAAGAGCAGGATCAGGATCAGGACCAGGACCAGGAGCATGACCCTGAGCCAGAGCAGGCTGAGCTTCAGCAGCAGCAACAACAACAAGAGGACCAGCATCAACTGGGAAAACCTGGTGAAGATCAATCGCAAATGCCGGTGGGGGAGACAGTTGTCGCCGAATTAACTGCCGAAGAGGTTAGTATTTTAGTAAACTATTTAAAACGATATATTTTCATAAGAATTATTTAGATCCGAGAGCGCCGTCTTCGCACCCTAGCCGCTCGAAGTGGCCTGCAGACTACCCCAAATACGCTGAGCTCAGTCACTCCCAGCCCGGAGAAGGCTCCCCGTACACAGGCAAACGTTTCTGGAGAGTCTCGTTTGGTTCGCGATGCTACCCCAAGCAACAAAAACATACCCAGCCTTTCAACAAATGCAGTTCCCAGTGCTGCCTGGCAAAACCTCGACGGCAAGCAAGACATGGATGTAGAAATGAAGTCGGTGGCGTCGACTCCACAGCAGGACGTGGAAATGGCGGCCGCTCCAAAGGACGAGTTACAAAGCTGCACGATCAAATCTAGATCCCAGGGGCCCATGGCAGCGGCTAGCAGTCCGGTTAAGAGTGTGGATGAGCAAAACGAACAGATGTTGTCCCGTCTATTGAACGCTACTTGGAACGAGTTTGGCAGCGGATCCATTATCTGCGCTCAGAGCGCGAGCTTTCTGGAGCAGCAGCCAGATCGCAGATTCGATTTCGAGTGCATTGTTTCCAACGTACTTATGGAAGCAGCCTTAAAAATTTACAACGATGAGCTGAACGAAGGAGAAGCCGGCGACGGCATGGAGTTCTCCTCCGCCAAAAAAATTAAGTCTGACGACACTGAAGTGCAAGAAATTTTGGCCAATGCGGTGGCCTCGGGTGGAGCACCCATCTCCGAAGAAGGTGCGGCAGCAGTGGTCAGCAGATCAGATGGACATACAGATGGGACGACCAATGATGGCGGAACTGCTTGCTCGGCGCCCTCTGTACTTAGCATTGTGACCACCACGAAACATCACGTACTGCTCTATTTGCAACGCTGTTACAAAAACTACCAGGCGGAGTGTTCCCGGAAAACTGCCAACACCCAATCAGCCTTGCAATTGGCATTCGAGAGTGTGATGCGAATGGCAGTGCTCGTGCTCACCGACCGCATTTACCAGAATCTCAATAGCCACATGGATCAATCGGCGCTTTTGGAGCTTATGTACACGGACAAAATAAGCGAGTCCTTCCTGATCGATCTTGTGGCCCACACATACCAGGATCGTGATGTCTTTGACGCGATTTTTGGCCAGGTGCTGCGGGGCCTTTTTGCGGGAATGCAGCGCAACATTTGCACTTCCAAGATAAACGTACATCAAATCGACTGGCTGGCCAAACTGGTGGTCATTAAAGTGGGAAACATTAGGCCCATTGCTGATCTTGTGTCCCGGCAGCCCAACTTCCTGCCGCCCATCTGCACCAAAATCTCTGGCAGAGAGATCGTCAAGTGCAGTTTCCTGGGTCCCTTCCTTTCCGTTTCGCTGTTTGCAGAGGAGAACGTGAAGTTTGCAGAGTTTTGTTCCAAGAACAAAGTGGAGGATGCGGCCAGCTCGCGGCTCCGTTGGGTATGTCAGTTATGGACCTATTTTTCAAATTAATTTATTCTTCTCTTCCCACACAGGAACTGCACTCTATGCGCACCCAAATGCATGTAGTTTTCCACTCCCTATGTGTTAATGCCACCAGCCGTCCGAGGACGCTCGAGTACATCTCAAAGATCCTGCGCCTTAACGACCGTCGCGTCCAGTTTGCCAGTGATGAGAAGCTGCTAGCCAGAGATGGTTTTGTGATCAACATGATGAGCGTACTGCAGCAGCTGGCAGTGAAGATCAAGCTGGACCGAGTCGATCCGAACTTCCACTACTATTCAAACTCGCTCATCAACGTGGAGCAGGACACTAAAATTCGTTACAACGACGAGGAGTACCGTAATTTCCTGGCCCGCGACTTTGCCCAGCCTGTTCCGCTGGAAAATGCTAACTTCCAAACACAATGCTGGTTCCTCACGTTGCAAGCCCATCACCTGGGCTACCTGCCCGCCATCCAGCGATATCGCCAGAAGGTGCGGGCCATCAAGGAGCTGCAGAAGCTCATCGACGAGTTGGACCGCAGTAAGCCCCACTGGGTCAACTCCCGTTATGCTAGCCGCAATAATCAGTTCAAGGAACGCTGGGAGAAGCAGCTGCGAAAATTAACTCGGTTAGAGATTCTTTTTATTTATATTTGGCTTATTTTAAAATATAAATTTATTTTTAACACAATTGAAAACAATTAACAAACCATTTTTGGTTCCATTTCAGCTCCAAAACATGCAGCGAAATAACCCTTCTTGATCCAGCTTTGCTTCAGCGCTGCACGGAATTCTACTCCACTGTCTGCGAGTTTATGTTGTACCAGTTCGAGGGCCGTCCCATAGAGGGTCCGTTCATCTCGAAGGTACCCGTGCAACAACTGAAGCCAACAGATGCATTTTCTGCACTGCCCGAGTGGTACATAGACGACATAGCCGAGTTTATCCTGTTCACCGTGCAACACGCCAACGTTGACATACGCCAGGGCATTGACCACTCTATTATCACCTGGCTGCTTACCTGCGTCTGCGCTTCGCACCTCATTAAAAACCCCTACGTGACTGCCAAGCTGGTTGAGGTGATGTTCGTCTTTTCGTTAAAGCCAGCCAACTCTGTGAACACAGCAGTAAGTTTGTGGTTTATAAAGATGTAGGCCCTCTTTCAAGCATTACCGTTCTTCTAAATAAATAGATGTGGAACCACGAACTAGCCCAAAACGCCCTGGTCAGCGCTCTAATGAGATTCTACGTGGATGTAGAAACAACAGGCCAAAGCACTGAGTTTTATGATAAGTTTACAATAAGGTAAACCAAATGACATTTATCCTTTCCGAGCATAATAGTGAGCACTTCATTTATTCCAGATACCACATAAGCCATCTGTTCAAATCTATGTGGGAGAATCCCATTCACCGGCAAGCCGTCATCTGCGAATCAAGAGTGGGCAACCAGTTTGTCAAATTCGTGAACATGCTGATGAACGACACCACTTTTCTGTTGGATGAATGCTTGGAGAACCTTAAACGCATTCACCAGACCCAGCAGCTGCTCGCGGACAAAGCCAACCTGGGCAAAATGAGTGCCGAGCAGCAACAGAGCCGGCTCACCCAACTGGCGACGGATGAGCGTCAGTGTCGTTCTTACTTGACGCTGGCGCGCGAGACGGTCGATCTGTTTCACTATCTGACGGTGAGTACATGCATAACGTGAACTAGATGTCTCTAAAGCCACTATCTAACCTTGTGTTGTTTTATTTTATAGAGCGACATTAAGGAACCATTTATGCGCGCAGAGTTAGTAGATAGACTAAGTTCTATGCTGAACTTTAACCTGAAGCAGTTAGCCGGGCCGAAGTGCAACGATTTGAAAGTGAAAAACCCAGCAAAGTACGGTTGGGAGCCGCGCAGCCTACTGGCCCAGATCTTCGACATATATCTCCACCTGGACTGTGATAGATTCGCTCAAGCCTTGGCCGCCGATGAACGCTCCTTCGATGTGCAAATTTGCAATGAGGCCGCCTCGCGGATACAGCGCTTGGCCCTGCGCTCGGCAGTTGAGGTGGAGCGCTTCAGGGCGCTCACTCAGCGAGCCCATGAAATTTATGGTACGGTATTGGTGTGGCATGGTAATGCGTTCCATTTTTTAATTGTTTTCATCGTCTCTTGTAGTGGCCAACCAACAGACTGAGGATGAGTGCGCGGATGCCCCGGACGAATTCAAGGATCCGCTTATGGACACCCTCATGTCGGATCCGGTGGTGCTACCCTCTGGCACTGTGATGGACCGAGCGATCATCACGCGGCATCTGCTCAACAGCTGCACAGATCCGTTCAACCGCCAGCCACTCACAGAGGACATGCTGGTGCCAAACATCGAGCTGAAGCAGCGCATAGATGCTTGGCGAAAGGAGCAGAGCGGCAAGCGCAACAACTGCTAATCCTATGCTAAACCCCCCCCGCAACCCAAGTGTACGTGTACGCCTGGGACTAGTTTAATGTGCAGTTTTAGTGTATTACCTATCTTCTCCATATATTTATACATAAACACATAAATATTGTGCAGGATTAGTTTGCAATACTTGCCGGATATGTTTTTCTGCAGGTGTCTGTAATCCGTAATTGGTCACAGCTCCACTCGGGAACCTTGATTTTTAAGAAGAAATTCGAGAAATTTTGAGAATTTGGAAATGTTTCGTTATTTTTTCTTTTGAAATAATCCAAATGAACTCTAGGTTTTTGGAAGTCCTTGGTTAAAAAGAGGGTTTTAATTAAAATGCAATTCGATTTAAAATTAAACAATAAACTAAGATATTTAAAAGTACCGCTCGAAGGCGGAATATTAAGTGAAACCGCATTGGTTGGTTTTTATAAAATTGGAATTTATATTTTGGATTTACAACTGGATTCACAAATAAAGTGTGTTAAAGCGTATTTCTAACATAAATTATAAAATATTTTATACTTACAAGCTACCGAGCATCCAATTCAGCTAGTAACACGCTTACCAGAAGGGACACCAGCCGATGTAGCACTGGCAGAGGTTCTCGTTGTTGGTCGCCTGCTGAATAAGGAGCTCCACCTGTTGCTGCTCGTTGACGCTCTTTTGCGTTTGGAAGTCGGTGCCAGTTAGCTTGCACTTGACCCGCTTGATCACCTGGCTGGCCTTGCTGTTCGTCTCGTCCGCCTGCTGCAGGTGCAGGTGCGCCTCGTACGGCTTTGACTTCGCCATGGGCAGAGACTCCTCCATCGAGTCGCTCAGGGAATCCTGGATTCCGGAGCCGCCCCTTTCACCACCGGCTCCGCCGTTACCAGCCGCCGCATCGTTGCCCTTCTTGTCTACATCGAGGAGACGCCAGTTCAGCAACGGATCATATACAAAGGCCTCCAGGACGGCCATTAGGGAGTCCTTGTTCCGGCGGAGCACCAGCATCACGCTTTCGCAAGTGCGTCGGTAGGTGCCTTCGATGCCGGTCACTTCCATTGCCTTGATCAACATCCGAGTCAGCCTGAAGGGGATCTTCTCAGGGAACTTTTCTCGTGTCATGGCCACCTCGAAGCAGTCTCCAAAGTCGATGTGCAATATCTTGCCGCTCATCCGGTCCAGCATAAGATTTGAAGGATGCCTGTCGCCCAAGCCCAAAATGTAGCCGACCATGGACATGACAGCCAGGGAGCGGGTGTAGTTGTTTCGGCGCTCGAACCACAGCTCTGAAGACGGAGACTTCAGCCACAGCAGCTTGGCCAGGTCGTCGCCCTGCGTTTGCCCAAGGGCATATTCAAACACCTCAACCTTTTGCATGAGGGTCAGATGATCGTAGTCGGGTGCAAAATTGAGCATGGTGCGGTGCTCCTGGTTGAGGGGCACCTTCTTTTTGTCCCGATAGTCACGGATCAGCGTGTGCAATGTGTCGCAATGGGGCACCCAGCCTATCAGGCCAGAGTTGGTGCTCAGAGGGATGACTGCATACCGCTGGATGGTTAGATTTCGCCGGAACGTGTCCGGATCGTCAAGCAGAAGGGTGTTCACCAGGGAAAATAGCTGCATCACCCGCTCATCCTGCCGCAGATCCTCGTGTCCTTTCAACAGATACATATAGTCCTTTCCATTCGATCCGGAGATGCACAACTTGCGAGGCCGCTGTTTTGAGGTTATAACCTAAACAGAAAGTATAGGATCAGGCATTGGGATAGTAAGGTGAATGCTATTTTATGATTCCTACCTGTAGGTTTGTCTTTATGTGACTAATCCGTATTAGCTCCTGTCCGGGATTGTACGAACCAGGCACTGCAAGTTCGAGATCCTTGCAGGTCATTAGCTTGGGCGACACATACGGCAGCTCCAACGACGTGAGCTGCGGCAGTTGACGCGAGATCTTTTGGAAGACATGGTAGTATATATCCCAGGCACGGTCGAGGTCCATCACAACGGCAGAGGTCTTGTAACGCTGTGACCATTCGTATGCCTCCGTTAGCTCACGTCCGTAGGCCTGCGAGAAGGACGTCTCTTTCAGAGTTTGTGGTCCTCGGCCCAACATGGCGTGGAGTGGTTCCAGGATCTCGAACATGCCCTTGACATTGCGATCTCCGAAGTAGAGCCGCGAGGCCTCCTCTAAGCCTTCGTGCCACTGCTCGTGCCACAGGATGGCCACACGGATGAGCTCCTCACTGCACATTACAGCCTGTTCCACCAACGTCGGTGAATGCTTACGCATCGAGTCCAGGATCTTGAAGGCAGCATTTCTGCGAGCCAGCGAGGCGGACTTAGAGGCCACCGTCAGAGGATAGACCAAAGCTTGCGGATGATTTTTTCCAATATCCATTAGCAACTGGTGAATCAACTGACCCACCAGCTGACGGTGAGTGTCGATGCGTGCGATGAGCTGTGGGATAACCTGCAGCCAAGTGTTGATCTCAATCAGCTTCATGCCGGAGAGCAGTGCCTCGTAGACTTCAGCGTGGTTGCCATAGTCGAACCAAAGGGTCAGAAGCCGTAACGTGTCCTGCAGGGAGTTGCCCTTGATCAGGCTGATGGAGCGGAAGAAACCCTGCACTGCTGGCACTGCGTACTGCTGGATGATGAGCAGGTCATTGTCCAAGCCGAGACTCATTCCCATGCCCAGTCCCTGCTGTTGTTGCTGCTGCTGTTTGTCCAGGGCGGACTTCTGAGCTTGTACCACCTTGAAGTTCATATAGGCCCACAAGTGCCAGGCTTTGTACCAATTGGGATCGTAGCTGGTGGCCTTCTCAAAGCACTCCAACGCGCCCGGTATCGCGTCTGGTCCGATACTGTCCTGCAGCTTGTTCTGCCAAGTGGCCAACCGAAGGTAGCAGCGCGCCATTAGCCGTTGGTCCTGCTGCTTGAGTGCCTCCGGTGGCAGGCAGCTGAGCTCCTGGCTGTATGTGTTGACAAAGTGCCTTAGCTGGTCGTAGGCCTCCTGTAGTTGGTTGTTTTCCGCCATGTACTTTGTGTAGGCGTAGGTAACTTGGGGTTGATTGCACGGAAGGGGTTGCTGGGGATTCAGCTTTGGATCACAGCCCAGCAACATTACTAGGGTCTTGTGCGAAAGGTGCAGCGATCCGCTTTTCCGACACAGACTGGCGTACTTCAGCCAGGTGTGAATGTCGTCGTGTGGTTTAACCACCAATGAGTGCACTTGAATGATTCGCCGCCAGTCCTCAACCAAACGCTGTCCGCCCTGAAGCCTCTTCCACCACATCGCCTTCAGGGGTTCTCTTCGTTCGGGTATCAGCTTGTACTGGATTACCTCCTCCAGCTCCGCCAGCATTTGCACACAGACCATGGCACCATAAGCTCGCTCGTACGATTCGCCCGCCATCGAGGTGAGCTCCGTGTCCAGAAGGTCTCTTGTCTCGTCAATTAGTCGCTGGGCAGTCTCAAAGTCATCGTGGTGCACAGCCAACACGGCTCGGTAAAAGCTTCCATCCTGGGTGTCTTCAGGTATGCACCTCACATACTCTCGCATGGCCTCCCAATCCTGGAGGCCCCATGCAGCTACAGCAGCTAAGGGACTGGCTCTTGCCTTGGACTCCGTGTTGAAGTTTTCCCACTGGTGCTTGGTGACATTGCTTAACTCCGACCAGTCACCAAGTGCTTCCAGGCAGCGCATGTGTCCCAGACGCGCCTCCACATCCGTCGAGTCCGCATGGAGGTTCCGTTCATAGTGCTCTAAGGCCTGATCCCAATTGTGCAGCTTCTCGTACCATCTTCCCTGCACGTTCAGCTCGTTGGCTGCGTTCCGATAGGTGGTGAGCAGACCTTCAGCAGCCTCCCGTTGCTGCAGCTTGTTGTTGATGAGGATCAGCGACTCAAACACCTGCGGATCCTCTCTCAGCAGGAATTCCTCTTCCTTGTAGCGGAGAGCTTTCGCATAAGCTCTGCATGCCATAGCTCGTGTACCCAGTAGTTTCGTTTCAATGGGTATGGGATCCCTATCGCAGTGCTCCATGAATTCGGCCAGGTTAAGGATAGTCTGTGTGATCTCCGGCATGTCCGTTACCTGCAGAGCCTGGATCAGGGACTGCGTCAGCTCAGTTTTCAGATCCGGCGGCAGCTCCGTCCAACACGAAATAAAGGCCGCATTAAATAGGTCTCGGAGCAGAGTTTCGTACTCCTGGGCCAACATTAGACAGGCTCGCAGGGCGTGTGATGGCGAATCCTTTAGCAGGCCAATAGACAGCCTTTTCAACCATTCCACCCAGTCGTCCTTGGACACGCGTCGAGTAACCTGCCAAACCGTACGCAGCTCGTAGGTGGTGGCCTAAGAAACAAATAACCTTACAACAAGTTCCAAACTAGAAGCTATTGATGAAGGTACCTACCTGCGTAATCTTGTTGTTGCTGTTGCTGTCATTAACAAAGGGTTCGTTATTCTTTATCTTGGCTGGTCGAAGCTCCCCTGCGCCACTTGCATCCGCCAGAGTGCTGTTCGACTGGATGCCGCTGAGTAGCTGCTCATATTCGGGATCTACAATCCTGTGCTTGACCAGGGTGCGCTGCACCATGGGCACAAACACCAGATATTTCTTTCCCAGCTGTTTCACCAACGAGCGAAGCGTGATCATCGCCTGGTCTCGCAACTCGGGTTCTGCCTCCAAAACTCGCACCAACGGATGGATTATGCGGGATGAAAAGTCGGTGAAGTCCAACTGGCAGGCCAGGTTGTTAATTGTTTCCAAGGCCACCAGAGATACCTGCTGGGGCACATAGGGCGAATCAAACAGCTTCACGATCGGCGGCACAATCAGGGGCAAATAGTACCCCAATGTACTGCCAAACTTTTGGAGAGCTTGAAGTAGCCTCCGAGTGACCATCCTGTCCTTCGAGTTGTCGTGCTGCAAAAAGCGCAAGATTTGGGGAATCAGTTCCGCCAAGTAGTCCCGGAAATCGCAGCCCAAAGCCACCGCAATCTGCTCTATAAGATTGATTAACGTGTTTTGCATTGGCAGGGCAGTATTGAGGGTCCAGAACTCCTTGATCAGTTTGAAGATGTCGCCCATGTAGCTGATAATGTGAAGCTTTACAAAGGCCACCAGAATAGCCAACTGTTGAAACAGAAAATCCCGCAGGTTGTTATCTGCCGTGCGCACATTGTCCAGCAGATTGGGCAGCACCTGGGCCAAGTAGGGCACGCACTTTATTCCAAGGCTCTGGAAAATGTAGGTCACCGCCTGCACAACCGTAGTGTGCCGAGTGCTCAGCGTGGGATCGCGCAGGATTCGCATCAGAGCAGCTATAGCCACCGCCGGGTAGTACTCGTCCAGGGCGTTTCCCATGTTTACCAACAGCTCCGCCGTCGAGATGTCCTGGTTCTCGTCTACTTTGCCATCGGAGTAGGCTATCAATACGTTGTCCTTCTGGCTATCAATTAAGCCTTTGTTCATCTTGTGCTTGTAGGGATCCATCGCGCCTAGTAAACCCAGCACTCGGATGGTCTCCCTGCGGATGGATCTGCGCTGTTCTGTTTTTAGGAAGTTAATCAGAATGTCTATCAGGACAGGGTACTTGTGATATGGTGTCACGACTCTTCCTGTGGCACTAATCAGTTGCCCCAATGTCCACAGGGCTACTCCTCGCTTGTCCGGACTGCCTGCATCTCCGAGCATCTCTAGCAGAATGGAGAGCAAGTCATCGGCCCACAGCTCCATCTCATTAGAGCCGCCATTTACCTCGGCCAAGTCGCCAATGGTGCGGAGTACGTTCAGTATCACCCCTGGATTGGATTCCGGCTCATGTAGCTTGGGCACCAGCGCCTTTAGGATTGGATTCATGTACGAAGAGATGAGCCTAGGCGTACTAATGACCAAGTGATCCAACATTCTGGCACTTTGTTCCTTGTTTCTGTTCATTCCCGAATACTTTAGATCGGTTAGCAGCTCGATCATGGTCGTTCTCAGCTTGGGCATAACATAGGCTGGGTTCATAGAAGAGAGCCGGCCAATGGTCACCATTGCCAGTTCCCGAATCTCAAAGATCTCGTCATGCAGAGTTATGAACAGGGAATTCAGTGACTCTGGCTGCGCTAGTTTGGCGTCGAAAGTCTCATCGAGGGAGCGCAGGATTTGGATTCGCACGTTGCAATCCAAGTCCGTGATAGCCACCATTAGCAGTCGCTCAATCACGTAGGAAACAGTGTCACTGAGGGTTTTGGAGTTGTCCATGTTTTCCGATGACTGAACTGCTAGCTTGAGAAGTCTCGTGCAGGTTTGAACGGCTTCCAGGCGAATCTCCTGTTGTTCGTGGATAATAAAGTAGTCGGCGCACCTGAAGAGAGAAAAAGCCATTTAGAGGTGGGTTTACAAGAAAGGACGGCTATAGTCGAGTTTCCTGACTATATTATACCCGGTCGGAGTACCGGGTATGAAAATGTATAAACATACCGCTGCACAAAGTCCAACATGTTTTGTTCTTCAAAGTTGAATGTACCCAAAGTCTTGAGAGCCAGCACCTTGGTGGCAGTATCCACATTTTGCATCAATGAGGGATCAATGGCGATCGGAGGAATGGCGGCGTACGGAATAGTGGCCGGTTTATTCATCAGAACCTGGGACAGCACTCCGATTAGTCCATCTGTGATGGCCGATTTCAGCTGCGGCACATTTTCGGACAGCTCCCGCAGACACACAGTGAGGGATGGCGACAGGCCGGTATAGAACATCTGCTCCAGAATATCCCGTACATCATCGGCAATTTCTGACTTGACGGCGTGCGCCAATAACGTAATACACGCAAAAATGGCAGGATCAACAGGAACCTTTCTCTTGCTGGCCAAATCCTTGGCTGGTAGCGAAACCTTAACACTGCTCATGATCGCCGAGAGATGAGTCTCGATTGCACTTTCCACAGCTACTGCCATGTATCCGATCGTGATAAACGCCACTGTGCGATCCTTTTCCTTTCCGCGCAGAATCAGCATCAAATAGGCTACGCACGACTTGAGATACTTCTCCACAAAGACATCGCGATTGAAGGCGGCCAGACGGGGCAGGATCTGCAACAGGGCTTGCTGGGCATACGGTGACTTTGAAAATCGCTGCTCTAAGACGTTGTCGCAAATGGTGGTGTAATGCTCCTGGAGGATCTCATGGGCGTATGCCGATTCCAAAACATTGTGCTGTAAGACAAATCGTTTATTTAACGAGTATTTAAAATAAAAGTATTATAATTAGAACTAAAAAAAACAAAAGAACAGTAAAAAAAGAATAAATACGTCCATTAATAATGAATAAGTATGATCGTTAGACTCACGCCTGTGAATTTAGCCACCCCGCTATGGTCACTAGTCTCGGCTAGACTCGATTGGGTTCCGCCAAGCCTTTCGATGAACGGCATCTTCAGTCGCGGTACAAAAGTGTTAAACTGAGAACCCACGCCCGAGGAGACACCGGCCTCAAGGCTTTTATGCGAAGACCTCGGGAATAGTGTTTTCAGCGACGTATAACGCCGTTCCCAGGTGGCATTTGCACAGCGGAACAGCTCGTTCACGACAATAAGACCTCCATGGATACGATCATCTCGCGTCACACCTTTTTGATCCTTTCCAGCTGCCAGGTCCGCGCTAAAGCTTCCATTGGCCTTGTCATAGCAAATCCGGTACCACTGCGGCTCACTGGACTGCTTTGTGCACTCCCGCTGGGCGGTGACGATCAGGGCAGCTCTCAGGGCTTCTCCAGCGGACTCTCGAATGGCTGGCTTGGGGTCGAAAATTGCATTGAAGATCACCTCGAAAAATGTTATTATGTGCTGGTAGAAGTAGGTGGGAAGGGCGATGGCCACCTCGCGGAGAATAAACACGGCGGCATGCCGGCGATACTGAAAAATATATAATTAGATGAGATTTTGAATTGTGGTAAGTACTTCAGCACACCAACCTCTTGCCGTTCGCTGCCGAGCACCTCAAAGGCCTTTTTGATGTCAAAATCAAAAGACACAGCACCTTTGGATGTGGGCATATTCGCCAGCTTCACCATGGACCGGGCGGCTATCTCCATGACGGACACGTCATTTATCAGGAGCAGATCCCTCAGACGGTTCAGGTAGGGCGCAATACCTTTCCGAGCTGTGAGACTGCCCTCGCAGTTGATGAGGCACTCTAGAAACAGAACGAATTACGCATTTTGGAAAAACTTGGAGACCGTGGACTCACTCATAGCAAGGGCTCCTCCCTTTTTTTCATTTATGTCCGTCGCATTCACCATGTTAAAAATGTGGTGGTCGAACTCGTCGAAGAACTGCGTCAGCTCCTCCTGGGACATCTCACGCAGCTCCGTCTTCACATAGAACATTAGGTCCTGGTGGGCCTTGTTCTGGACATTTCTGTTGCGGGACTTTAGTCCGTTCACGAACTGCTGCACCACCGACGACGTAGACATGGTTCTGCAGTCTCTTATCACTCGGCACTTTTAATGGGGTGCTGTTTTCCGGAGCAGGTGCATCTGCCTGCGGAGTCTGAACTTTGGAGGTTATCCAAAAGGTTTTTCAATTGCCCCGCTTAGGTTCTGTTGTTTGGTCACAGCGAAGCCACATAATGGTACGCGATTGTAGTTGGTAAATAACAAATCCGGTAGATTTGCCGGTGGAAAGTTTCGGAAATTAACTTTTTACGGCGATTGCAGCCGCAGCCGTGAAAGAGAGTACAGTGTTGCATACCACATTGAATTAGCGTGGCTTACAGCACTGCCCACTGCGTACTTTTCAACACTCTTTTGGCCAGAACCTGGCAGCCGTCCCACCGATAACAATAACCGATAGATCAATACCAGGGGAAAATCAAAAGCAAGGAGAATTTTCATAAGAGGCTGCTGAAAGAAATGTGAGCATATTTAATTTTAGCCAAGTCAAAAAAGCGCAGTTAGTGAAAAATCCAACAATTGCACAGCAAACACCTTCTAAAACCAAGTGACAGTGTTTAATCCGTGGTTTTAAAGCATCAAATAAAGAAAATTCATACCAGAGTCCATGGCATGCGTAAAAATTGTATTGGAAAATCGATGCTCTTGCGGGGGGCGGTTGCAGGAAGCTTTTCACTTGCCTTCTGCTGCGGGTGTCTCTTCACATCAGCGCCACCTAAGATTTTTCGCGGAAAACTCACTAATTGGGGGAAAATGTGTTTTTGTTTATAATGATTTTTTTTTATTATAAAATGTGAAGTTTTAAAAAAAATCGACGTTAAGAAACCGTTTGGCGTTAAAATTAAGTACTTGTTTTTTTAAAAATTCAGTTGGGTCATATAAATATATACAATGAGTATTATATATGCTGATATAGGCGTTCCATATATGCCATATATTTAAAAATTTCATTTTTTAATCTTGAATTTTCCTTATAACTGACATTTTTTAGCAACTGACCGTTAGCGAAGTAGAAGAAGAAGAGCAACGCGACCATGTCCAACTTGAGAAAATTCAAAGACGAGGAGCGCGAGTCGGAATATGGACGCGTCTATGCGGTGTCTGGTCCAGGTGAGCAGTTTTACGAAAGTGCTTGAATTGTAAAATAATATTAATATCATTATTCCTTTACCTTTGTCCAGTCGTCACTGCCGAGGCCATGTCTGGATCGGCTATGTACGAGTTGGTGCGCGTGGGCTACTACGAGCTGGTGGGCGAAATCATTCGTCTGGAGGGTGACATGGCCACCATCCAGGTGTACGAGGAGACCTCCGGTGTAACTGTCGGAGATCCTGTCCTCCGCACGGGTAAACCCCTCTCGGTGGAACTAGGTCCTGGCATCATGGGCAGCATTTTTGACGGTATCCAGCGTCCACTCAAGGATATCGGTGTAATGACCAGTTCCATCTATATACCCAAGGGCGTGAACACTCCGGCATTGTCTCGTTCCGAGATGTGGGAGTTTAATCCCTTGAATGTGCGCGTCGGTTCTCATATAACGGGAGGAGATCTTTATGGAGTTGTGCACGAAAACACGCTGGTCAAACAACGCATGATTGTAGCGCCACGGGCCAAGGGCACGGTCAGATACATTGCCCCCGCTGGTAATTACAATTTAGAGGACATTGTTCTGGAAACGGAATTTGACGGCGACATCACCAAACACACCATGCTGCAGGTGTGGCCCGTAAGACAACCACGTCCCGTCACGGAGAAGCTGCCGGCCAACCATCCTCTTTTCACGGGCCAACGTGTCCTCGACTCGCTCTTCCCATGTGTACAGGGCGGCACCACCGCCATCCCCGGAGCTTTTGGCTGCGGCAAGACTGTTATCTCCCAGGTAAGGTCCAACATACTCATCAAATATACACATTTAGACCAATGTCCAAGGAACACGAAACTTCTCCACTACAGGCTCTCTCCAAGTACTCCAACTCTGATGTGATCATCTACGTTGGTTGCGGTGAGCGTGGTAATGAAATGTCCGAGGTGCTTCGCGATTTCCCCGAGCTGACCTGCGAAATCGATGGTGTCACCGAATCCATCATGAAGCGTACCGCCCTGGTGGCCAACACCTCCAACATGCCCGTGGCTGCTCGTGAAGCCTCCATCTACACCGGTATCACTCTTTCCGAGTACTTCCGTGATATGGGATACAATGTGGCTATGATGGCTGATTCCACCTCTCGATGGGCCGAGGCTCTTCGTGAAATCTCGGGTCGTCTGGCTGAGATGCCGGCAGATTCCGGCTACCCAGCCTACTTGGGTGCTCGTTTAGCCACTTTCTACGAGCGTGCTGGTCGCGTCAAGTGTTTGGGTAACCCCGAGCGCGAGGGATCTGTGTCCATTGTCGGCGCTGTGTCACCTCCTGGTGGTGATTTCTCCGATCCCGTCACCTCTGCCACCCTGGGTATCGTCCAGGTGTTCTGGGGTCTCGACAAGAAGCTGGCCCAGCGCAAGCACTTCCCCTCGATCAACTGGCTGATTTCCTACTCAAAGTATATGCGGGCTTTGGATGAGTACTATGACAAGAACTTCCCAGAGTTTGTGCCACTGCGTACCAAGGTGAAGGAGATCCTGCAGGAGGAGGAGGATCTGTCCGAGATTGTCCAGCTGGTGGGCAAGGCCTCGCTGGCCGAGACCGATAAGGTCACCCTTGAGGTGGCCAAGTTATTGAAGGATGACTTCCTGCAACAGAACTCTTACTCGCCATACGATCGTGTCTGCCCATTCTACAAGACCGTGGGCATGCTGAGGAACATTCTGGCCTTTTACGAGACCGCTAGACATGCCGTAGAGTCCACAGCCCAATCGGATAATAAGATTACTTGGAACACTATTAGGGAGTCGATGGGAGGTATTATGTATCAACTGTCTTCGATGAAGTTTAAGGTAAGTTCTGATATTTAATGTGTTACAAATGCACGGATTCCTAATTAAATCAATTCATTAACCACCAATTAATTTTCAAGGACCCGGTGAAGGACGGCGAGCAAAAGATTAAGGCGGACTACGACCAGCTGTACGAGGATCTCCAACAGGCCTTCCGAAATCTTGAGGATTAAGCGGAGCCGGAGCCAACCGAAAATTGCGGGATACCCATGCATAAGGAGGAAAGCAGACGAATCAAGAAACCAAAATTAGGTTACTTTTCGAATTCCTCAATTCAATCTAGTCATATTTACATAATGCATAATAAGATATTTGAATCCAAGTTAATTTATAAGTTAAACAGTTTGGCCCGATTCAGGTCTAGTCAGAGGGAAACCCGAAAACGAGAACTATAACGACGAGTTACAAGATACGAACAATAATTAGTCGGTAGCGCAAGTGAAATACAGACACACGGACTTTATTTGTCCAGTTTAAACCAGCCATATATTTACATAATACAACATGCGTACGCATAAACATCTATGTTGATATATAATTATAATTCAAACTATTTATTGTTAGTAAATTTTCATAAAGTTATCGATTGTGTTCGTTCCCCAATTCGTGTGAAACTTAACCCAAACTTAAACGAATCTAAAGAGAGTTGAAAACTTTACGAAACTACAATATTATATATTTCTACATATTATAGACCTTTAAAGAACGCAATAACAACGTAGCCCAAATTCGATGCATGTACCTCTACTACCAAAGAATAGTTATGTCAGTAATTTGTGTGTGTTGCAAATGGAGCTATGCAAATAAAAATGTATTATGAATGTTACAAAAACAAGGGACGCACTTTATTATTTTGTGGATGATTGTTTTTCGAATATTTTATAGAAAACCGCCAATAATATGCGAGTACAAGCCATTTTCCAGCACTGTCAGCTGTGGAACTATCGTTGATATCGATAACACAAAACGCTGGGTCGTGACGTGTATCACTTTGTTGTTAAATTTAGGAAACTTTATTCGCAAATTTAGCTTAAATTAAATTGAGGATGGCTCAGTTTGGCGGTCCAAACGATTTCTACAGCTCCGGTCCATCAGCCGATGCCAGCTACAACTTTGATATGCCCGAGTTTGGACAGGAACTGTGAGTAAATTTCAGAAGTCTCTCAGTTCACAAGTCACTACTTTAAATGGTTGCAGGAATTTCCAAACCTTTGACAACACACAGCCCTCGGTGCCCCCTAACTATGACAACTATGCTCAGCCTCCAGCTCAGGGATTGGGCGGCTTCTATGATCCTACGGCGTATTCAGACACAAGCTATGGTCAGGACAAAAGTGCGAAACAAGGCGGAGGAGGAGCAGCCGGCACAGATTTCGACGATGAGCCACCTCTGTTGGAGGGTAAGATATTAAAAAACAATATGAAATAATTTTTTAAGGAATAGTCTCGGTTATATCTGTTACCTGTGTCCGTGGTATCGTTCATACAATGTATGAGGTAGAAGGAAATAAAAAATAAATATACACTTTTGATCATCAGACACGTTTAAGACGACTTACATATGGATGTATATATGTACATTTGTGAATATTACCGTCTTTCTATTGAAAGGCTTTGATCTCAATGTGCCATATACTTAAAACATTTGTAAATTGAAATCGAAGCTTGGACACCTAATTGGCTTTTATGTCTAGGCACGACCCAGACAGATCCGACAAATTTAAAGAAATTTTAAAAAAGTTACACATTTTTATTTTGTTTAATAATATGGATAGTAATCTATTTTCACATATAGTAAGGGAGCAGCTTTATTAAATTCTATAAGTTAAACAACATTTGGCACATGAACAATAATATTCAACATTTTTTTGTTATTAAAAAGGCAGAATTGGTTACTGCGTTGAAAAATTTTATCAACAGATCTATGTATATAAGTTTTAAAACACCATTTATTCCTTTTTTTGACTACAGTAGTGCCAAAAAATTCTGCGACAGTCCTTTTAAGTGGCATAGTTTCAGGGGAGTTGCAAGTTTACAATGAAAATTTGACAATTATAATGCATTTTTCAGTAAAAGTTTGAAAAAATTTACAATAAGCATATTTTAGTTACATTTAAAAATAGAATTTAATTCTGTTAAAATTAAAAACAAATGTCACATATTGGGCTATAAATGTATTCTGTAAGAATTCCTAAAAATAAAATTTTTTTATAATATGACCAATAAACCAATCCGGATTACATAATCTGACATTTAAAATAAAACATCAAAGAATTAATATCTTTAAAATGTTTATATTTTCGTTAATTAATTATAACATATATTACAAGTAGCCAAATAAATAGAGCATAAATGAAAGCTCTCAAAAAACTAATGTTGTTTTCTGCTCTTTTTTCAGAACTAGGCATAAATCCGAACCATATATTCCAGAAGGTAAGAAAAACTTTACCTACTCCATGTTAATTAGAAACCCTAACTAAAAAAGAATACACTATTCTTGAAAGAATAGAGAATTGGCTGCACTTGAACGCATTTTTAACTAGAGCAGACGTCTTGAAGCAAAAAGAAAGTCGAGCAATTGCATATTTTAGAAAGCACAAAGAAACTCCCAGGCCGTCTGCAAAATCCTTCGTTTCCCTTTACGCATTTTACTTGATTTTTTCCGGTACCTTTTTCTAATTTGCAACCCAGAGTAGGGGGGCTTTTCTTTTCGTCGGGCACTTTAGGCCGCGGCAAAACTCCCTTTTAATTGAAATTTAAATGTTTTTCCCTTTGTGTTTATTGCGGGGTACCTTTTCTGCAGCAATAACTCTATGGTTTGCTCGTTGGCGTTGGTTGTTGGTGCACTTGCCGGTTTGTGTCGTTAATGAAGACATATTTTTTCATTGCACTCGCTGCCTACCAGCACATAGTTGTTTTTAAATAAATAAAGCAACTTTTGTGTTTTTAATTAAAGTTTTTCTGACTCATTTTTTGCATCTCACCAATTTCCATTTCATTCCGTTCAGTTGAGTTTGCTGTGCTGTGTGTAACTTTCTGCATTTTTGTCCATTTTGTTGAAAAAAATAATGGCGGACGCCTGATTCTCATTTCTTTCGCTCGGGCACGGAATTTATTACGTTTGTGTTAATTGAAAAATGAAAATGTTAATGAGTCCGTGCGCCATCATAAAACTGAAATGAAATGCTAATTAAATTGTACATCAGCTAGCGGGGGAATTATGGTTAGATTTGCGTTTGACTCTACTTTTGTTTGGTGATGTAATGAATCTCAGGCAGGGCATGTTGGGGGCTAAAAAGGAAACAAATATTATTTTGGAAATATCTCTTTGTTGGCATATAGACTATATTATTTTTTAACTATGAGTTCTTTTTAGTTTGGTTTCGATCCCATCAAACCAACCACCTTTCAATCTCAATTAAAGCTGGTAAATTTAGTAGAGAGATGTTAAAAGCATGGTGGAATTTCAATGACAAATTTTGGAGAGCCCTTGCTGGTGTAATATCAAATTTCATGGCTTTTGCAGTGCCCCACATTCTCATGCGTCAAATGCGTTGACAGCTTTTGGTCCAGTTCCCAGCTCCCGGCTCCCCGTCACCCGATTCCTACTTCCGGCTTGGCCGTTCACTTGCTGGCAGCCTGGCTGGTCAGCAATATCATTTATCATCAATTTCCATTTTTCAAATTTCTCTGCCACTGCACACAATACAAGAAACGGGGGGGAAAACCAAAACGCATAGCGAACAAATGTTTGGAAAACGAAACGGGGGAACTTGGGCTTCGTTTTATGACCGCTGTGCGAACAAATGAATTGTGTTGTGTTGTGTTGTGTTGTGTCCCTTGTCCTGCTGCAGGCTCCGTGAGTGATGATGGCCCGCTGTCGGCGGGGTCACCCCCTAAACCTTTAGCCTCCTCCTTCTGAGCAATCCTTCTCTAGCTCTCTAGCTCTCATTTTAATCGTACCACTCTCTAATTTATTTCAGACTCTGGCTGTGCTAAATCCGCTACGCGGCACCGAACAGCAAATTCTGCAGGACACTGACATGGCTGGCCCGCTTGTATTTTGTCTAACACTCGGAGGCTTCCTGTTGCTGGTTTGTGTTTAGCTTTAAATCGTTAAAAGCCAATTAAAAGGCTTGAGAAGCCCTTCAAAATATGTTCAATAATTGAAACAATAAGTTCAATTACTTCATTTAGTAATACACTTCTTTTTCTCCACTTCTAACACATATTTAAATTGGATTGGTTTAGATTTGAACTTTATTTTACCATAAAATTAAAACATCAACTTTTTTAATATCCTCTATTCTTTAGCAAGGAAAGATGACTTTCTCGTACATCTACGGAATTGGCGTAATGGGATGCATCTTCTTCTACTGCCTGCTTTCATTGATGGTCACCCGGTCGCAGGTAACTTTCGGAGCGGTGGCCTCCGTGCTCGGGTATTGTCTGCTGCCTATGGTCGTACTCTCAGGCATCAACGTTTTAATCACCATTCAGTAAGTAATTGTTGACACAAGTCGGTGGCTTTTCATCTCTCTCCGCCATTTTAATTCATTGTGTGCTTCTTCCCATTCAATCCCCAATCCACCCCCTCCATCATTCATTTCTTTCTTTATATTTATGTTTTTAATTGAAAAGTTGCCAATGCATTGGCGTTCAGTCCTCATTGTTTGTGGCCTGTAATTACAAACTTTTGCCTAAGCTCGTCCAGCTGCGACTGCAGCACGTTTTCGTTCTGCCCTCCGCCGCAGAAATTTGTTCAACTGATGCCATGGTTCTGCCTTCGCCTATTCAAGTTGATCACTTTTGGTTGTTATTGTTATTTGGGCTAAGCTTATTGTTTGATTTGAGAGTGATGCTTCTGTTGCAGAAGCATGGATATGTATCCAAGTAATGAAATAGTTTCTCATATGAAATCGAACCAGACACGCATCTGTTAGATACATTTGTTTAAGAATTGTTTAAAGTTTCCTTGTTAGGATTCATGAAGCTAATCATACAAATTCCTTAAATTAATTTTTTATTTTGATAATATTGTGGAAACCTTGATTCTGGTACTATAGCTCCAGTTTTTTTCTTCTTAGTCATTAAGAACTCCCCGTAGCCAAGCATTTATTTTTTTGCATTCTGTGTTCCGAGCTGGTTGATATCTTTCTGGCACTTTTCGCACAATTTAGGTTTTTAATTTTGTTGCAGTTTTGGGCAACGATGCATACACATAGAGTCATATAAAAAGACTAGCCAACTTAATTTGCTCTTTTAGTGTACTCCAGGGCCACAACTGCCAAACTACAGACTATGGACCGAGGACGAACGAGGCAGGACAATGGTGGACTACGGACTCCATTGAAGCCAAGGCAAGGATGGCAAGGAAAGACCGGCAAAAAACGGAGTAAAATAACGCCAACTATGCGCCGTTTAATTTTCGCGCTAAAAACAGTGGCCTCGGAGTTTTGTGGAGTGGGCGAATTGGTGTGGCTGGATGGGTGGTTGGTTTCGATACGGGCCCGGCTGCCCCGGTGTCCATCTGTCTAACGTTCCGTGCCCTGTTTTGCCACCCGTTGAGTTTCGTTCACGTAGTTCCCTTTTCAAATATGTGTCCAGCACTTGCCGCCCTGGATCCACCCATTACCCACTTTTTCTCCAGCGTTCTTCTTTGCATTTTTATTTTTATTTTTTTGTGTGATGGTTCCACTTGCCACGCTTTTTACTATGGACATGCGAGGAGCAACACGCAAATGCTGCGTGAGTTGTTAGCAATTCCGTTGGTGGTGCCCCACCGCTGCTCCTCGCCTCCGCTCCCTTGGCACGTCATAATTTCAGAGCAGCGAGGGGAAACTAAGTGGTGCAGTGGGTGTGAGTGGTTCTCGGTGAAAAAAGGTGAACGTTTTGTAAAAAAAACTGAGTCTACCAATGCTTGGGCTTGCTCGACACCCAACGCGTTGGCCCACCTCTCCCGCCCCGATCCTCTCGCCGTGGGCAAACTGTCCAACTGCCCAGTGCAATTGCTATTTTGGTTGCCTGTTTGCCTGCATTTTTTATTTGTTGGCTTTAAGCGCCGGCAATTTGTGTAGCTGTGGGTGTGTGGCTTTGATGTTCATGCAGTCCATAGGAAAGCCAGAAAAGTTTACAGTAAATATTTTTGCGATTCCCTACACTCTTTCTGGCCCTTTACTTTCTTCTTTTTTCGTCGGACTTTTTAATTGAGTTTGTTTGGTGATGCAAAAGTGCGCAAAAATTACACAGACAGTCGAGTTATCCGGCGGTCGAAGAGTAGTGTTTTGATTCGTTTTAGGCTAGTGCCGGACCATTTAGGCGATCCAGGGTCGGGCCGAAAAATCACTTGGCAGCGTGCTTTTCGCAGGGAAGCAGGGAAAAGCAACACCAACAACAGAGTATATCGAAAGAAAGGGCAAAGGGCAACCGAAAACGGGGAAAAAATAGAAAGAGGTGACAGCTGAGCCGCCGAGACCACAGAAAGGCAATCCATTAAAAGCGTGCGTGTAGCTGGAAATTGGAACTTTGGAATAAAGGGATTTATGTTTTGGTTTCGCAAATTGATTTCTGTGTCGGTTTTTATTTGGCGAGGATCTATAAATTCTTCTCGTTTAACTTTAAAAGTCACATCAATTTATTTTCTGTTTGAGACTATTAATGTATCAGATATTTAGAAACGTTCCACCTAATCCAACATCAGACTATAAACATCAGTCTATAGGTTTTTAACTCATAGCCGTGTGGGTTTACTCTTGTGCCCCTTCATCATATGCAATTCTGTTGCAGGTGAAGCATAGCTCCCGTCGCTTTTATATCAATTTTTCATATTCCTGGCTCTATAGAGTGTGGGTTATTATATGGGGCTTTGTAGTTGGACCGTGTTTGCACATCCTTGCCGGCATTGCGCCTGATGTCTTTGTTTGCCGTGCCAATTCATTCGTACACACGCACACTCAAACCCAAACATTTCTACTCATCCTCACTCCCTCACTGTTTCTTTTTGTTCGATGCTCTAGTGAGTGGAATATCCTTTGGTACACTGCAAAATATATGGTTCAATTTATCCAAATTATTTATTTATGTGGAAACAGGGGGCTTACATTTTGTAAAAAAAATTAAAATATAATTTTCTGCGACTAATAATTCACACAGCTTATAATTTTTAATCGCTTGTATATGTTCTTATTGTATATTTTTATGGGTATTTTAATTTATATTATAATATTTTCTAAATTTCAACATGGTTTTGTATTTTCTTGCAAACAGCCTGTTTCCACTGTAAACTACTGTGCCTCATGCATATGCATTGTTTATTGATTTTACCGCCGTCTATATCTATCCCGACCGAGTTCTCATATCTCGCTTCACTCTTGCAGGGGCACACTCGGCCTAATTGTGAGCGGCATCTCCATATTCTGGTGCGCCATATCGGCCTCGAAACTGTTCGCTACCGCCTTCTCCATGGACCATCAACAGCTGCTGATTGCCTATCCGTGTGCGGTGCTCTACGGAGGATTTGCGTTGATTACCATTTACTAGGGCTACGGGCTGCCGATGGCGATTCAACGTGCAGATACAGGACAGATACCCTAACCCCTCCCGTCTACTGTTATTGTGTTTGCATGGTTTTAATTGTCCTGCAAATACACTCACACACAACGTTTGCAACACAACAAATTCGCACCCGACAAAATAGAGAAAAGAAGAACATGGAGCTAGGAGGAGCAACTTGCAAACAGGAGTATGAATATTTTGAAGAAAATTAGCGCCGATTGGAAATTGTTTTATGTGTTCCGCTCGGCTCAGCTGTGTAATAAATTTGATTGGGAATAAAAAAAAAAAACGGTTAACAAATTGAAATTGGTTTTTTGCCTGGGCACACACACACATTTATATTTGTGTATAGTGATGGGTAGTGTAAGCAGCATATTGAAGTTTCACGCTCTGGTTTCCGTTTCCGAGGAACTGCACTCTTTTTTGGGCATGCAAAATTATCGCGGCTCAAAGTCATTTTTTTTTTCCTTTCCTGCCAAATATTGATTTTCTTTTATTAACTTTGTTGTTTTATAAGGGGAGTTCACAGGGATATGATTCTGTTGAATTTAAGAGACCTTACTGGAAAGAAAACTTGAAAAGCAGTCTGTTTGTGTATTTATTGAATATTGCTTAAATGTCTTATACATTTCAATATAAGTCTAGTCGATTTAACAGCCGTAGCCAATTTTCTATATTACTCTAATAGTTTTAAGCCATTCTTGGGTAAACATTTAAATGAAGGACATCAATTTGCAATATGATTTTTCAAAACTAAAATTCTTAAAGAAACATTTCACCCCTGTAGGTGAACATCTTCTGCAGTTATTTATGCTTTCATTGAATTTCCAGCACATTTGCTTTTCTTTTCTGGTTTCTGCAGCAGTGAATCGAACCGAATTTTCCAGCTTCGAGTTTGATTCACCCAATCGGTTTATTGTCTGCCGTCAGGTTGGTGCACTTTGGCTTGTTGCACTAATCGACAACAATTGATGAAAACCTAAAACTTCCAAAGGTTTCCAGTTTTCCACAGCACAATGTGAGTTTATTCAATTGTAAATTTGTTGGTCTAATTGAAATTTCAACTGCAGCTTGCTTTTGGTTTTTAATTTCCCACAGCTGTGGTACAAAAAATTTAAAAATTCCTCTCCGCATACAAAGTGTTAATTGAATTTTTTAATGATCTAAAAACTAAAAAGAAACCAAAAGAAGCCAAAAGTAAAAGGAATCACAATAAAAAAGGGTCCGCTTCATACCGCTGCTTACCATATGTAAATAATTCAGCGGTGTCCTCGCATTTTCATATTACATAATTAACGTTTTCTTTTGGAGCATTTTTTTGTTTAGAGTTTCCGGCATGTCCTTTCCCGGGCCCGCCTCAGCTGCCCGAGCAAATTGCAAAATGCGTAGCATACTTTGTTGGGCCGGCTCAGTTGCTTTGCGCTTTTTGATTTCCGTTTTGGACACTCGCTCCTTTCTTGCCCATTTCCTCCTCCCCTCCTTGTGCCCGCTCTTATGCAAATTGTTGTAATTACTACAATTCGGTTGAGCATTTTTATGGCTGGTGGTCAACAAAAAAGGAAGGACCAAAAAATACTATATATAGAGCGAAATGTATGCGGAAATATTTGTGCGCTAATTGCGTGGCAAAAAGGGGTGGGGAGGCGGATGGTGGTCCTTTGTCGGCAAGGACCCCGGCCAGGATCTGTGTGCTTAAGCATTTTACGCTCATCAAAGACGTCGCTTGCCATTAGCGCCATTAATAAACACTCGTTAGCTGTTAGCTGGCAGACAGGACCTGGCTGGCTGCGGCACCAGCTTTCGACCTGGCGCCTCCCGAATGTGTTGCTGATAATTAGAATGAGCTCACAATTAGCAGAACCCGTTGCGGATGGGAGGACCGACGATGATGGGTGGCAGCTCCTCCAGGATGCAAGGCCGCGCACCGGCATAAGCTTATTAGTTTGTGCTTATTTTTATAATTTTTTATCTTCGCCATTATAAGCAGCTTGGTCTTTAAATATCAACGAGTATACACAACGAGTGTTTATAAGTTGGAGAAAAATATCTCATTAGTAATTTATTTCACAAAGGCACTAAAAAGTTTACCTCGCGAAATGCAAAACACGCATTTCGTTGATACATTTTAAACTGATACTTTTGGCGAGTCCTTCACAAGGACCAGATCCTTTATTTTATCAGTGTATCTTCCGCATCCTATCGCTTTCTATCGAGCGTAAAGCGTGAGCCAACACAATGGCAAACACCTGCGGACAAAAGCTGCTTACGGAAATGCACAGCCAAGAAAAAGGATGTGGCTAAAGGGAAAAGGGGCGGGGTACAAGAGTTATTACATTCTAGCGCTTCCTCTGCTCGTTCGCCTTGAGTTGTGCTTTCATCTTCTTCTGCTGCTGGTGGTGCTGCTGCTGGAGCTCTTGCGGCTGAAACTTTTGCTGCATTTTAATAAATATGCAATCTAAAAACGTTTCCCACACAGACAAAGCCGCAATAACCGCAGAGGTTTCGGGGTGTATGCGCCGGAGAGGTTTTTCTTGGTTTCCCCCTAGGTTTTCCCAGGACGCTGCCAATGCCAAGAATAAAGGCGTTAATTATGCTTTTCCAGCAACGCAAAATGGTCAAGTGCGGCCAATAGAAAGCGAGACGACAGCCACATTATGTGAGATTCGCTCGGGCCAGACCTTGCCTTAATGGCAAAAAAGCGAACGGAAAACATAGGGGAGACTGAGGAAAGCGGAAATGGAGAGCGCCGGGACCTGTTCCCTGAAAGGTTGGGGTCTGCATTGGTTGCAGTTGCCACATTTTTAATTAGCGCTTTTAAAAGCTCATTGAATGGTCAAAAAAGAAAAGCCAAGTAGAAGAGGAACGAAACAAGTTACATGGATGTCAGTCGGCGGGCTTGCATTATAGCTTTTAAATGTGCGCTTGGAAAATGGCCGTATAATGCATATTCAGTCAAAGGTCAAAAAATATAGAAAAAGATGCTGTACGTACTTCTTACATATTCATCCTATGTCGGTTGCGCTCTAAGAGTATGTCCATACCCAACTGGGCACCAACAAGTGGAAGATTCAAATAGACCACACATCCGGCCAAAGGGATAGACGTTACGGGAGGCGTAATGTTACAGGCGGCTTAGGGCGTAGGGCTGGCGGGGTGTACCCGATTTGCGGCACTGAAATGCATAGAGAATTAGCCGGAGATGAGCGGTTGGCTAAAGGATGCAGCACGGGCGAGGCACGTGTAAAAAGGTGGCCAGATTTTGCATGGTTACCAGCTCTCAGCCCCTTTCTTGCCGCATCGCTGACTCGTTTCCAAAGCCAAACCAAATTGCTGGTAAGCCTTATCCTCAAACCCGTTCTCCCTCCCGGAAGCTACACCCCTTCGTCGATGCCCACGCACACTGATGCAACCAACAGCCACACATCGTTAGGTTGCAGCTTAAAAGCGAAATGCAACATTTATGGTTAAGCGCCACCGAAATGGCTGGCAGAACCGGCCACCTCCTTCTCTCACACAGACGAGCTTGCCGCGTTGATTGCTGCGGCCACACTTCCGGAGCCCAGGGACAGAGATTCTGCAGGTGGGGTGGATGAGCAGCTGATGGATGGTTGAAGGACCTGGCAAATATTCTAGGACACTTGACCACTGCACAACCAATTAACTGAAGAGCGCTGGAAATAACTTGGTGTCGACCTCCCTTCTTACCCATTTTCCCAAAATAGAGTTTCTTGTTCAGATACATCATTGTTAGGAAATGTATTGTTTGGAACACTTAAACCTGAAAAAGCAGTTAAGGTAAGCCACACAAGGTAAATATAGGTACCAAACAAAATTCTATAGTTATATATATATATATAATAGTTATATAATATAGTTCTATTCTAAATTGATAAGTTGATAAGTTGATTTGTTTCTCCATCACATTGAAAATGTCTATATCTATACATTTTGGCTGTCTAGTAGATCCACTCCTCAATTCGAAAGGAGATACAAACAGAAACCATCAAAAATACCTTCAGGTGCACATCTACTATATACATCTGTATGTAAAGGTGTTTAAATACATATATTAGTATTACTTTATCTTATAAATTATCAACTTCCTATGGTTTATCCCCCATACCATTATACCTGAAAAAACATGAAAAGGCAACTCAAAGATGTTTATTGTTTTGAGCTTTTGTGCACTTGAATGAACACTGAATTGGAATATCCGTGTGATTTCAGGACGCTGAGAAGGAACAGTTGATTTCCACTGAACTCTAGATAATCCCCCAACAACAGCAGTTAACAGGCAACGATTACTTGGCAACAAGTCAATTACGACTATGCCGTTGCTCGATGCCAACCAAGAATGGTTCCTAAATCCACTTTCCCCTCCCATTTCTTCCTCTTTTTGATATCTACTAAGGCAGTCTGGTTGCAGCGATAACCGACTTGGACTTGGGAACCCAATAAATTCCTTGACCGAGCGGTTACTCGTATAGCTTTAGAATCCTCTTTAATGCGCTAACTAATTGAGCCCGGCCATACGGGCAGTTAAGTGGCGATGGAGGATAAGAGCAAGGGGTCTTGGATACCTAGGTTGGCGGGGCTATCACCAAGTGGCAATCGGTTGTAATCTCTAGCAAAGCCGCTATAGCTAGGGATGAATAAAGGGGTATGCACTTTGAGGAGGCATTTCAGCTTATAAATATATGTATATAAATTACCTTATTTTTAAAAAAACCTTATTAATTTTATTTATTTTTTTTATATAAATTAATTTGTATATACATTTTAAATGAATAAGTATTTTTATATAAATAAACTAGACGCATTTTCAATAAATAAATTATTATTATATTATTCCCTTATATAATAAAATATGTATCTTTTAATAGGTATTTGATGCGTCTGTTACTTTCTAAATTATATGAGGTTCTTCTTAGTTCAAATTACTTTTGGCGAAATTTTTACAACACTTTTATTGCCTGTCGAATGGGTGAGAGAAATGCAGGATGGAGAAGGTCCTTCTTTGTCTGGCTTTGCGATTTCAGTTATGCGGTTTCAAAATTCAATTAAAAGCCGAACATCACATTTCTCTTGTCGTCTTAAGCAATTTTTTTCGATTTTCTTTCACTTTTCTTAAACTCCTAAGAGCTGCACTAACCAGATAAGGAGGAAATCCCGAAAGCCAAAGGGGAAGGGCGAACGTGTGAATAAGTTTCCACAGGATGTGGAAGCGATGATTCCCTTGCCATGATTTAGGTTGCTACATCGGCATGAGTTGAATTGAATGGAGAGTTTCCTCAACTAAAAAATAT